ATAGAATTATCAATTTACCAATAAATTGAAAGAAGAAGTCTATATCTTTGAATAAATCATATTTCGAACCAAAACATTGCCGAACTACGGTACTTGTACTCATGGTTGAATTAATTCAACCATGCTTGTACTATTCAATAACATCACAATTTTTTCATGCGGCCTGATCATTGGTGGGGATTCGAATTCCCGAGCAAAAGAACTATTTCGGAAAATTCTTCAATTACATGCGACTATAAATTCGTATAACGCGACGATACTCAACTTTTTGCTCCTAATTTGAGGCAACATACAACAAAATACTGCTGATCAAATAATAACAATCATGTGAACACTGAACACAGCTGAACCCTATACTTACCAACTCCAATCCGTACCCTTTCATGAGCGCACCTACCCATATGTATTGCCTTAAATATTTTCTATGAAATTAGTTACTGGAAGAAAGGGCACCGTGAGTCTACAACCACTAATTAAGCCAGTCCCAATAATTTCGTGCGAAGAAAATTATTTAATACGGCAGGAGCTGTGGAAACTTCGGGATTAAATGAAAATATGATTTTTGATTTGATTTATTTGCTCAATTGATCACATTGCTTCTTCAGCGTAAATTTATCATTAGATAAAAGATACATCAAACAATTTTCAAGTTTTTATTCAAATACTCATATTTCATATTCCTGAACAAAGAGGATACGTTTCCGGAAAATAATTTTCGACATTGGTCATCGATGTTGGATTGATGGTGCAGACACTCCAGGGGTTAATGGGTCATCTTTTTTAAATAGTGACACACTTTCTCACCTACAGCACGATCAACGAGCGGGCTTAGCACTGATTCGCCATTTTTCGGGGCCAAATTGCCTCATTATGATATGCACAAAGACAGAAAGTGCACCATTATTTAGAAAAATATCTCTCATTTCTTAGGGCCGTCATTAAGGATTGACGAGACCTTTCGGAGAGCAGCAGACGCAGCCACTGGAGCAGCCGTTGGTCCCGGTCAATAATACTTCGAAATTTCCATCGCACTTCTCGCGACAAATGCCGCCAGGTTCCTGATAATAAAAGTATCAGTGTTATTGCTAAGCATTGTTAGTGCTAATAAACGTAGGTGTTGATTAGCGTTAGTGATGATTATTATCCGAGTCAGGTCTAATCAGAGTTATTGCTAATTATTGTTGGTGGTAATTAACGATACTGCTAATTATAATCAGAGTTAGGCCTAATCAGTATTTGGGCTAATCAGTTTTGTGCAGAGCAGTATTTGGGCTAATCGGTATTTGTGCTAATCAGTGTTGGTGCTACAGTTTAATGATGGTATAATAAACCCAATTTAATTGAGAGAAAATAGGACACAATTTTGAAGCACGTATCATTTTGGTAACTTTCTCATATCAATACTCGAAGGCAGATAGATTTATCGATATTTTGCTACGTTAGTGGAAAGCTTTACTGGGGCAGATTTTGTTACTTACGTTAGTGGATTTGAAGCAAGGCCGGAAGCATTCCGTTTGACGGAACTCTGCAACGTAAATAAGTTGATTGCATTATTAGAATTGTCCTGTAAACAACCTATGAACTAGAAAAAATACAAAATATGTCTTCCTCAATTGCGGCGAAACATTCAGCAGTGGCTATAATAGCGGTTTCAGCGTTAAGTAGGCCGTAGGCATGTTGCCGATTCTTAACCTCACAGAACATTCACAGCATGTTGCGGTCTCAAACTCGCAACTCACTGCTCCAATTCTGCTGTGCTTAACCGCCCGGCCTCCTTGCCGATTCTGACCAGAAACTGGCGCACAGAGCTGGGATCGATCCCGCACCTCTTTGCGCCAATCTTGGTACTCTGAACTTTAACCACTGGGCCACCCAATCCTGGGCCACAAGCCTCGCGTCTTCCAAAAAATTTGTCTGTCTATCCGTGACTAACAATCAAAGACTAAAGCAGCTGCCGATTCGAAAAATTAGAATAAAAAATGACTTTGGCATTGGCACTTACTTCACCCTCAATTGGATTGACCTGAAAATCTTTTACTATTTTGAATAGAATAGATATATCTGCTGAGGAAATTGATCGATATTCGATTTATTGATTAAATAAGAACAAAATCATAATTGACAGATATTATTCAATATTTCAATGTCTTAAATCATTGTCATATTAAAAAAATCAATGAAATTTCTCTTGACTCACGAGCACGGAAGTTGTCCATGATGTTGCTCTTCTCTGGCTCCTGTGACATATGCAAATGAAATAAGTTATTTTCATACGAGACATTTAGCCTGTATTATTATTTGTATTATTACATTAGTTTTCTAAATAGGAGCAGATAATTGCGTTTCTATAGTTTCCGCATTATCTAAGTGTGCCTATATATAAACTTGGATTTATATACAGAATAAAGTAATGAAACTGACCGCAATTTATACTGAGATTTAAAGATATTACAGAACTGATTATCAATTTAAAATCTTTCAGCACCAATCATCACAAACATTTTTGTGAAAATATATACCGGTCATGAGAACAAACATATGTTTTTTCACCAGAATTAATATTTTTAAGGGGTATTTCAAAGCTTGAAATTCTCCGGCTATTTTAGTCATTCCTGAAATAGACTCGTAATTGTGACATGAAGAAGCTTGTACTGTAGTAAGTCATCGATCGTGACGTCAGTTCCAAAACCATAAAATGTTATGCACATGCGAATTTACCGTATACGTTAAGCACGGCCTCGAACGGAAAATTTGTCGGCCATCCTGCACAATTATTCCACAATACTCAAAGAAGATGAAAAAATCATTAAATGCATTTGAAATTATATAATTTTACCTGCAGAGCCGCAGCTCTCACTGCGGCAACCAGCGTAGCCAGAAGCAGTAACGCTGTGCAGAGCTTCATGCTGTGAACAAATGACAATATTTTCACTTTAAACAAATTGGTTGAGCGTTTTCACTTTTAACAAATTAGTTGAGCGAACAGTGAAACTTTTGAAATCAACAAATGGTTTACCTAAACTGCCGAGTGCCAGGGATAGACTGGAATACCAAATCCTTACATAAAAATGGTATACCAATAAAACTGAATGAACTATACTAATGTTATTGAATGTTATAAAAATTTCCAGGAATCATTTATAGCTTAGGCATCTGTTACAAAACCTGTAAAAACCTTTTTGTTTTACAAACTACGTAAATCATAATTTTTTTCAGCAAGCTTGATAGAGTCGATGAATATACATAATGAAGACATGCTATTTTTTTAATCCACATTAAATCACCGGCACAAATCACTTCAATAGCATCTCCCTGAACACTTAATACAGAATACTGCATAACGGGATATTTAAAAATTAAACGATGATTTTAAGAATTACATGTTCACTTATGAGTACAAATTGCGTCGGTGTTGATCAAGTAAAATTGCAAGTACTGAGCTAGAAAAAGTTTACGATAAATTCAAAAGCGAAATACTCACTTTTAAGTAAAGATTTCGTCGGCTGACCACAAAGTTGCTCTTTAACCGAAGTTCGGAGGTGGAGTGAGTGTGTGAGTTGGGAGTTTTTGAGTGTTTTTAAGCACAAGAATTCGCAAGTGTGCAGAACCATAAAATAAATGTGAGTCAGGATTCCCATGCAGCGTGAGTAATGATCCTCGGTGTTATTAATTGTTGCCAGCCTGAGTAATTGTTGTCAGACTGAGTAATTGTTGCCAGGGTGAGTAATTGTTGCCAGGGTGAGTAATTGTTGCCAGGGTGAGTAATAGGTTCAGCCATGAAACAGAGGCACCTGCCGCGACTGCATCACTCATAGGTATAGACCACGCTATCATAGGCATAAAAAACTATTCAATGCGATTGATATACGTAGATTACATTGAATATATCAATGTGCTACAAATCACAGTATCTCTCAAATCTTTTACAATAAAGGCCGTAGCAATAGCCAACCTCTGACAACATTTGACGTGAAGGTTTGAATGATGAAGCGATCTCAGTTGAACTGTTCAATGTTCAACAAAAGGTTGGGGATATTCCACGTGGACTTAAAACTGCCACGTGGCCTTAAAACTGCCACGCGGAAAAGTGTGAACGGATTTTAAAAAAGTATATCCGATGGCTAATTTCATTGATGGTCTCCTATTCTTATGCGAGAATAATTTTATCATTGGTATAAAACTAGGGCAAAGGTTAGAAAAAAATTTCTCTAAATCTAGACACAGTAATATAATTAATATAATTTTCTCGTTCACTGTGGTGGTTTAAAATTGTTTTATAATTGGATTAGGATAAAAGGATTCATGATGACGGGCTTCTGAAATTGAAGGGATTATCGAACCCAGGCAACTCCGGGCTATCCAGCTCTTATTTAGCATGAGAAATGGTGCCCTCATCATTATATATTGCAATCTATACCACGTAAAAATAAATGAGAACGCCAATATTGATAAGAACCATATCATAATAAGAATATCATAAGAATCATAACCATATCTGAAGCAATCAAATTATGTAATGCATTTAAATTGGCATAATTCTGAGGAATTCATATCCTGAACATAAACGGTTGCTGAATTTGTGCGGAGTTAGAATAATATCAATTATTATTGAATTATATATTTGAATTCGTAATATATATTGTTGCCGCAATGGATGTCAATCTTTATATTTGTAGGTACTCGTACAGCTTTCTTCAGCAATGTGTAACTAAGTTAATTTAATATAATTAAAATTATTCATCAGTGCTTTTAAATGTACAAGATGGCCTGTCACAGAAGAAGTCGAGATATGCCGTTACCTAACTCTAACATATAATGCGTTATTTGCTGCACGAACAAAAAACGAACCATAGTGAGCATAAAATTTTACTTTACATTGTCGCGTTTCCGTATTAATATTTTTCAACAACTGATATCCGCAGGGTGTCTCGTAGCTTGTATGGCAACATTTATCGTAGTCGGGATTGTGCCGTTGTGCGTTGTGGCGCTAGTCACTACTCACTAGTGGTCGATGAGCTGTGGCCGTAAAATATTACTAAAGTACAGTGTTGTATTTGTAATCGATCTAACTTTAATATCAGTGCATTGAATATATAATGAGCAATTACATGTCATCAGTATTGCTTTACGTTGGATGTATATTATCTACACACATCCAATGCTGTGAGTTTTATATCTTGTAGAGTCACATCGTGATCGTTTATATTATGATCGAAATATTTGGCTAAATATTTCGATCATATAACTTCTGTAGTAGGTTACCAGTACCGTATTACCAGAGTTAGGTCTTAATTAAGATGTCTGAAAATATTACCACACCTGAAATAAAGAGAACACGTTTCATTTTTCTTCTTCAACAAACTTGTGAATCGAAATTTTTTCTCCTGTTTCTGCTATGTGATAGGCTCAACGAAAGAAATCTAACCTTGTTCATTTTGTAATTCGCCTTGGCTGCTGGCATCATTTATTCGTGAAGCGTCTTGGTCTTGGGGGTTAGTTAGGCGCATAGCAAAAATTTTTAGAAGCACCCAAAAATTAAATCATTGTTTGGTATTCGATAGTGAAAAAGAAGACTTCCCATCTCTGAGAACATAGTGCTGATCGATTACAGTTAGCACTTAGCACCCCTGAGCCCTGAATGTCTGCAAAAAATGTCTATACTAGGTGGCATTAATCTTAGTTCGTAATCTTCATTAAAGTTTCTCAGTCCCAACAAAATGTCACAGGTGCACAGACGTGCACTCGCTTCCTGTAGTCTGAAAACCTACGCTACGTTTAAAGACTCGCAATTCTGAACTGTGAACAAGAACCATCTATGGCAGTCTGAACTAGTAGGTAGGTACTCAACAACAACCTCTACTTGAAAAAGAAGTGAATTTAACTCAACTTTTTTGCCAGAATTATACTGGTCGCTAGATGACTGGATGATGTTAGGTTCAAGTTCAACATTGCCACATTTATCATTAACGCAAGAGGCGAGAGTAATGTTTTGATGCTAGATTTAAAAGATGACTGACACGATCTGTAAAATTTAATTGAATCGCCTCAATAGATATATTTTCATGTCGTGCAGTTGGAGTTAGCAGCATCGCATGGCTCGGTATACGGCTGAACGTCACGCCTGAACGCCTGGATGAAGGCGTCACGCCTGAACGCCTGGATGAAGGCGTCACGCCTGAACGCCTGGATGAAGGCGTCACGCCTGAACGCCTGGTTGAAGGCGTCACGCCTGAACGCCTTGATGAAGGCGTCACACCTGAACGCCTGGATGAAGGGGTCACGCCTGAACGCCTGGATGAAGGCGTCATACCTGAACGCCTTGAAGAAGGCGTCACACCTGAACGCCTTGATGAAGGCGTCACACCTGAACGCCTGGAAGAAGGCGTCACGCCTGAACGCCTGGATGAAGGCGTCACACCTGAACGCCTGGATGAAGGCGTCATACCTGAACGCCTTGATGAAGGCGTCACACCTGAACGCCTGGATGAAGGCGTCACACCTGAACGCCTAGATAAAGGCGTCACACCTGAACGCCTAGATAAAGGCGTCACACCTGAACGTCTGGATGAAGGCGTCAAGCCTGAACGTCTGGATGAAGGCGTCACACCTGAACGCCTGGATGAAGGCGTCACGCCTGAACGCCGCGTGAATTCTCTACACAGAAAATAATGAGTATTGTACAGGATTGTGTATGCGGGGATGGCACATAGATTTACTTCACTGTGTACTATTACGGTAAGAAAATGCTAGAATAGAGAAATCTCTAGGACAATAGTACAAAAGTTTCGAAGAAGAGTTCATTTTCACGCTAGCAATAAATTCATTACAAATATTACGCAACATGGTTACTTTTCATCTCGGGATGAAGTTCATCGTAGTTTGCTTGCAATACAATTTATTTTTAATCAGGTCGCAATTCTGCCGGCATCTCGCGGTCGTGAAACTAATACATATAAGAATTTGCGCTTCTCAATTTGATGTCATACATTCTACGAGTTGGTTTCGGTCGTCTCGAACTAATTAAGGTCCACATTTCTCGTGGTCTCTGAGCGTATTGGTGGGCGATGTGCTGTCGCTGTTGCTCCTTCCTCACGCGGTAGCGCACTTGCGCTGGCTTACCAACCCTTTTGCGTCCAGCTGTACCTATTAACCGCCTTTCAAACTGGCGTTTTTTGTTTATGTATGAAGCTCATTCGCCCAATTGAACAAATGTGTAGACTTTAATTAAAGACTGCACTATGACCGGGTGGAGCTTTTTATATGTCGCCTGTCAAATTTGTCTATTAATAAATTTCGGCAATGTGGTATGAATGCAGCGTGATGTTTCTTGTTCGTGCGCCCTGCGCTCTTCGGCTGCAGACTTTTTTTTGGCGCGGCTACCCCGATTCCGAATTTTAGGGTAGCCGAAGGACTCCATTTTAAACCTAAAAGCTATTTTAAAATGATAACCATTAGGCGTAACAGTTGAAAAAATTCCTAATTTTGTAAATATGAAGCCATTTCGGCATAAAGTTCCTCACTTTCCCGGAAAACAAAGTGTTATTGGTGTGCGTTAGATGGACTGGAGGTTGGGGGAAGCCGATTCATTGGGAAAGTTTCTTCCGATTCAATGAAAGTCACTCAATGAATCTGAGTCAGATATGGATGAAGGTACTATGCGAATATTATAGCTCTTTTCATTGAAAGAATTCACCGAGTTATAAAAAATGATAAAGATTTTGCTGCACCACGTCTTCCGATGTCTGTACGGTACGAAAGAGTAGAGGGAGATTCCATCTCGATAACTGTCGCCGTATGTATCTGGGAACGGGTTTATTTTTCAGATATTAAGTTCCGAGTTATATAATTTGAACCATTTGTATACATAAGAAATTTTCTCGACGGTTCGTCACAGTTAGCAAATAATATTTCATAATGGCAGATTAGAAAATCGTTGCCCGAAAAAATCACCAATCGTTTTTAACTGCAAGGCTTTACAAGCGAATGTGAAGCTTCTGCATCTCGAAGTATATCAATAGACTTGCCACATTCACTGAACTCGGCACCTTGTATGCATGCCGTAGAGAACGTTTCTACAAAGTACGAGTAAAGAACGTGGTCGCCGCATGTAGAGCACACCAGTAAACGAGAAGATGTCGTGTGAGATGCGACAAACCACCATATGACAAAAAAAAAAACGTTTTCGATGCGTAACTATCGAAGATATCTTCACAATTTGTTTCGTTGTCATCAAATCGATTGTTCCCTAGTAACAATTTTGGAAGGGGCCCATGTTGGCCCAAGTTGGCGTAACAATATTGGCCACATGTGGAAGTGACATATAGCAGCCTCATGGTTTTTGTGAAAATTCTGCCCAGCTAGGCCATGTAGAAATCACACGATTTCTACATAGAGCCAACATACCATATAGCCCAACACCACTGATTTCTTTACTGGTTTTGTCTTATTTGTACAATGTTGTAGCCACATAGCAATGTCATGCACACTCAGAGTAAGATAGCATCAATGTTGGCCCAATATGTTGAAACCGTAATGCCACCTCATTTCCACATTGTCGCATGGGCCCCTCATGGGCCCATTGTAGAATTGTTGCTAGGGTTGTTGCCAACCTTCGCAATTAATTGCAGAAGCTATTAGAAAAGTTCCATAAGCTATACGAACAAAAGATATATCTACATCTGTTTGGAATGTAGTTGAAGTTGATGGGCAGCAACGTTGTTCAACTCTTTTTCGACTGTAGGCGCATATTGTCCGTTCCTTCGTGCTGTAGCTAGTATCTTTAGAATTTGGGAACTGCTTATCTGGGTTACAATTTTAGAGAGAATTGTGGCGCGAGCATTCCAGAAATTAAATACATCGTAGGATTAAAATGAATAAAAAAATAAGCACAACTTTGGAATGAAACTCGTGCGTGCAGATAGATTTCTTGCATACTCACAGAATTGAATGTGTTGCAGTGTAAAAAAAGTATACGCTCCGAAAGTAAAGTTCTACTTTTATTAAAACGCCGACCCATTTTGTCTATTTTTAATTGCGTAACCGTTTATTGTAACGACAAGAAGAAAATATCGTCGCTATGAAGTAGGAAAACGGGTCCTCTAGTATTATTGAGCTGAGAATTCCATTAGAAATATTCGTGGCGTACAACTCAACATCCTCCGACATTTGCTGTGGGGTAAAAGACAACTCCGTGGTCAATGAAAACTACATGTCCGCCCAATTACATTTGGTTGACATGTAATTTGGTAATGTTAGTAATTATTGTTGTTTGTTGATGAACTAAATCAAATTTGACTCTGAATGCATTCAATTGGCCGACTCACAATAGTAGCTCGTAGTGCCCACGTAAATTTTTGCTAGATGCGACGCTTGCTTACACTTCGTAAATCTTCAGTTATGGGGCGTAATAACAATAGAAGAAAACAAAATCTAAGAATTTCACAGGGCCTTGTTGAGTTTATTGACTAAACTTAAATCTTTACAATTATTTTAAATCTCCTCGTTCGCTGCACGTGTTGAAACAGCTGTGAATTACAACAGAATTATTACTTGAATTATAGTTCAATGTAGCGAAAACCTATAATTTTTTTTACTGAAAAATTGTATTTTGAGCTTCAACGACCCGTCTAAATGTTTTCCTTTCATCTCTAGTAATTATATTCACCTTCATCCTGCAAGCATTTAATTCATACATACAGATGAGTACCAAAGATATTTCGTAGTTTTAAACTAATAACTTACTGCTCCAATTTACCTTTCACATGCAAGAAAATGAAAACATCAGCTCGGCTGTTGAAATTCGTCACGCTAATGTTCGTTTATTAAACGAAACAAGTTCTGCTCGCGTTGCATGTTGTTCAAGATCAACGTGGCGTAATATTGGAGACCCGAGTACATTACACGGAGCCGGAAGTCGCTGAGATGGTTATTTTTCAACAGCCTGGTGCGGACAACGATTACAGACAACTCAAGTACGGTTCCTTAACAGCGACGCTACACGAAATTTGGTCGACTTGCGACGATAAGCTTGTATCTTTGTTACGTATCTATCATTTAGACTGATAGCAAATTACGTCATGAAGGGGACGCTGTTAGAATATCTATATCACCGGCGCAAACGTTTGAGGATTCGTGTTGCTCGCAGGCTTCGCTTTAAACGTTGAAATGCATCAAATTAAATCGTGCAATTCTAATGGTAAAGAATTTGCATACATTCAAAACCTGAACAAAATTACATGGAGGCTTATTTTATTCCTGCTGCAAGGAAGCTGGAAGATTAAATTATAGAATTTTGTGTTCTCGTTTTTTTTTTACTCTTAAGTTTTCCCCTTCACCATCTTTACAAGCGTATCATGTAAATAAATGTAAAATGCGGTGACATGCTGCACCGCACTTACAATTACATCTTCAGTAATTAGCATCCGACCTCAACTGTGGCAGCCATCGCCCATTGCCGGGAAATTCTTTCAATGATTTAATCTTTTCGCTAATTTTTTCCGCTTCAACTGCAGGTTTGCAGCATAGGTGCCCAAATTTGCTTTGTGTTGTAGATTTGTTATTGAATCTTGTTGAATCGTTCATAATTAGTTATTATTTTATTTTGTAATAACTTTTTATTTATTAATGTTGAATTTTCTAACAGACTTGGCTCTGTTGTAATCTCATACGTTCGATTTATTTTGCCGTCAACACTTTGAAGATATCTCAAATATCTCTGATAGGTACTTGACAAATAAAGAATACATTATAGGAAATTGAAGAATATGTTCTAGACATTGGAATACGTTATGGAAATTAGGAATACATTATGGGAAATCGAAGAATACGTTATGGTCAGAGGTTTCATGAAACAGCGGCTTTCTCATGACTTCAGCCTTTACGTATTTACTTTTGAGTGATTGTGAATTCCTGTAAAATTTACGCCATACACTAATTTTGGTTTAATATTTTTTAGAATTCCGTCTACTGCAAAGGATTTGATGTGTTCACTGTTGATGACTCCAGATATTTTACTAAAACTTACTCTAGTATCCGACGAAACCATTAAATTTACTCATATTTCACTAGTCTTACAACTTTATTTACCCAATCCCATGAAAAGAAATAATTTGTAATCACAGTTCTTCCATTGAAATGATACACATTCGAACTTAGGTCGAATGATAGCCTCATTTAACATCATATAATTAATTTAATGTTACTTCTCCAAGCAAATGACGTTAAAACAAAGTCGATTGAGTATATGTTATTGGAATGTAATTAATTCAACGTTATTTCAACATCAGATACCAAGAGGGGTCAAGCCTTATTGGCAAAGTCGTGTAGATAGCAGCACGTCTTGTGTCTTGTCATGCGGTGGCGGTAAGGAAATATATATACCTCCTCCCCACGGCTACGCTGCACGAGGCAACGTTTGCCAGCCAAAGCACTTCCTAAATAAGTTATATCGATATATAAAATTATAAATGTTATTAACTATTCGTGATATAACAAAAAATTTACATTTATCGAATTTATAGATTATCTGGCGACAAATACAGGGTGTTATTCTTGATCAAGATTTTTCTCAGCGCGTTTATCAATTGTATGAATATGGTATTGGGTATTTCTTATTATATCGTTTGCGTCCGGCAAGTAAATAGTGTCCAACAATTGCAAAAATAACTATTCCATGCGTTTTGATTCACTGAAGAGAGTTGCAAGTCCTTGCAGTTGTAAATTTCTCTAAAAAATTCCCATAACACAGTTTATATTCACCTCCACAAAAATAAGTATGGCCACGAGCATAAATGGATCAATCGTGATGGTCATTTATGGCGTTGTGAGGAATCCCCCTCCATGATAATTTTTTTGTACCGATCGAATTAAGTCAGACCCGCGTCGAGTTCAAAATTCGAGATCTTGAAAACGCTGATTTGGATATTGTAATTAGGATAAACTACGTATATCATTTGTCCGAGATGGCACTTCTGAACGAGTCAAATGGAAGTGTTATAATTCTCTTCGAAACTGTAGCTTGGTGTCCAACTAACGTTCCGACGACGTTTGGCAACTAGAGCATTGTTCCGTTGTCGATAAGAAACAAGTTCGAATCTTGTCCTTACCACACAATGGGAATTACTATGGGATAACTTTGATATAAACTCGGAGAGGAATCGATTGGAACTCAGTCACTTCAGTCACCTTGAGCTAAACTGATTTCGGAAGTCCCTCTTCAACAATGGAGCACTGTAATCTTTTTCAGTCGTGGAACGGCGAAACTCCGCAGGTTAATAACTCCGGCTTTGCCAATCACCCATCGCATCAGTCCCTTCCTGAGGACCTTCTCGGTGTTGAGCTTCAGCCGCTGGACACAACTTTTCCTTACGTTCCTCCGACAACTACTAGCTTCCCTTACGTTCCTCCGACTAATTCATCCCTTATTAACTGGGATCAGTCGAGCGGCAGTCAGAGATCTTCCAGCACTTGGCGCCAGCCTCGTCCGACCTACGAAAATCGTGAAGAAGACTTGGATGTAGACGAGTACGCCTGCTTTCGCGGCAACGGTGATTCTTTTATTTCACCTTACGACCAAGTTTCTTCAAGCCTCTACGGAGATTTCAATGGCCACACAAATCCTCAACTTACGAGCCTTCCTCCTGGGAATTGTCCTCAATATTTGATAAACAATGAAGACGTTGCAGTAAGAAGCAGAGAACGATTTAGCCATCCAAGAGAGATCGTGGAACCGCATTACGGTTTTTCTGATTTGTCACTAGGAAATTACTCCGACAATTCAGTCCAATTGCTTCCCGAGTCCACTTACTCCAGAGGAGCTTCAAGCTCACCGCAATATGCCATGCAGAGTCACTCATCGGCTGAGGTGGGTAGATCGCCAGTGAGAAATATTCGTGTTGTGTCCCGAACAACTTGATAATACTAAGAATAAAGTTGAAGGAGTCTGCATCATGAGACTTCTTCATATTTAATATTTCAATGATTCTACCGTAAGTTCTCGACCATCCTCAATTAATCAAAAAAAATGAAACTGTCGTACGTCATTCATATAGAACTTCCAAAATCTTTTTAAAAAAGTTGAGTCGGAAATGGGCTTTACAATCAAACGTGACATTAGATCCTTGCTCAGTTCTCATTAGGAGCGATGGGCTAGGACTGCACCCAATTGCACGTATTAAAATTATTATCACATGAAAGAGAAGATGCTGTATTTGATGGGAAATTATGCTAAAATCGAATTTTGTCTGCGTGGCTAAGTTATTCAACTACGTATGTATTTTTGGTGAAAATATAGGGTATAAAGATTATCACCCATGGAGGAAGAGAGCCAAAGGAGTGAAACTTTATTTGCATTGAAACGCGATATTTTAGAAGTCGGTCACATTTGAATCTTATCACATTATCTACACGGGCTGTTAGAATTCAGATTATTGTCGTACTTCAGAGTAATCCTCCTTCAATGTTACATCGGAAATAATTTTGTCGCACTTCTATTTAGAATATTGAGCTGACGGCATCTGGTAAGCCACGCAAGCGTCGCCCCAAGAAAAGCCTGCAGAACTTGACAGCCGAGGAGCGCAGGGCGCACGAAAGAGAAATTAATCGTCCCGCGCAGGCGCGTTACCGCGTCAAGAAGGAGCAGCAGCAGCAGCACCTCGAACAGCAGCTCGCTCACGAGACCGCGAGACATTCGGACCTTAATGCCAGATATCAGGAACTTACTGATAGAATTAATGACATAAGATTGAGAAGTGCAAACTACTGATATGTATATGTATTATATGTACGGCCGCTAGACAATATGATTTGCTTGCCCAGTTTCACCACGTTACTTAAAAATTGAAGCGTAGTAAACTGTGTCGTTAGTTCTATTTGTTGCTGTCGCTGCTCGATCTGTCTGGGGCCGGATTATCAAAACATGCTAAGTATACGTAGCCGCTAACGTTTAGCGTAAGTACAGCTAAGTGGACGTGACTCTACTGAGTGGCATTATCGAAACATTTGCGCGGGAAGCTACGTACAAAAATTTGTGCATAACTGTACGCCTGCTCGGAGGTGTCGTAAGCGGAGTTACGTACAAATTTTGAGTGTTGAAGCAATATGAGACTATTAATTTACTAGCAGCAAGTTGAATTGTAATAGAATTTTGTCAATAATGAGACTTAGGTATAATATGGGATCGTGCTAATGCTTTTAGGAAAAAATATTCGATTGAGTTTATACCAGAAGCTAATTTGTTTTCCTCTTGTGTTTCAATTTACAAGCAAATGTTGATATTCATGTTCAAGAGTTTTATGCCTTTTGATTCAAAATATCTTCATGCCTATTTGATTCAAAATTATGTGGAGGTTGACAAGCCAACCATTTTTTTAGCTCCGTACACATATTTCTTTTTTTCTCTGACAGTCACAACTCCAACTCATAAAATTTTCTAAATTCTAGGTCTCTCTAAAAAGTCTTCTAGTTTTGAATGGGAATAGAGCAATTTTTTTGCCCTGATTGCAAGAAATTTTGATGAATGATCACAACAACAAGTGCATTGCTATTTGGATAACGTCACACTTATTTCTCCATTTGCACCCTAGTCAGTCTACGCTGATGCCGCTGACACGACACAACCTCCTTCCATCCACGCGCTCTGCGCACTGAGTCGACAGGAGGAGCTAGGAACAGCAAATCGAAAGCCTCTGATTGGTCAGTTAGTTGTATGGTTTTGATAATACCTTTTCAGATGAGTCATGCGTAAGACAGTTTTGTTAATGCCAAATTTTGACTGACTTACGCCATACGTAACTTTTTGAACGTAAGTACGAAAAGTTACGTGAACTTAGCGAAGCTTCGTTAATCTCTGCCCTGGAACATAACTATCAACTTAAATTATACGTAAACTATTGAGTGTAGCAACCTGAGGACGTTTGTACACAATAGAGAACATTTTAAAGCTGTAATGGCTGGCAAATCAGCTTGCGTTGAAACTATTCACTTGCCAGCCAATAGGTCACTTTACTTTTTGATTCACAGCAGGGACTGTTCTCTTAGCTGATTCGTCAATATAAATATAAGGTTTCGTTCATATTTATAATAAATTTGAACAAATGAACTCTGAATATTAATAACCTGCTAGAGCAATCGAGTATAGATGGTCATGTGAATGTAATAAGCACACGCCATTTACTTTCAGGGAACATGCGTGAAGGCATGATAAATATTAAAATAGGATTTATTTCCTGAATCCATTATCGAATTTCGTAGCAGAACAAATTTATAAAACTCCATGCACAATCTCGCTGTGTTCAATGACAGCGGAGGTTAATGGCGCCACAAATTGTTCAATGTATGTGCTGTTATCCACCTAACTGCGGTTTATTTACGTTACGAGGTAGTCGAGGAAAAGAAATAGCTCTTCATCATCTATTTATTGTGTTTACACAGTGATCAGATGCAACATATTCAATAGTTTTCAACATCTTCAGCTAAACAACAACAAATATATACAAATATGATAAGGTATTCAGACCGCTATAATGGTTAAGAATAATTAATATATTTACAGTAAAGAGTATAATGCCTGAGAGCCTCAGTCGCTGGCAACTTCATCTGGTTAGCGACGCCGTTGAACTGTCAACAGCAAATACAAGAAAAAGCATACGGCGGTAAACAATATAGTACCAGGGCAAGCGCTTCAAGGCTAATAATCAATAGGATCTAGAAGCGAGTTTTTGGTTTCAACATCAAATATTTACAAAAAACTTAGAAAAAAAAATTATTTACCTTGGACTTGCATCCTCTTTTAAGCTACATTACTAACGAATATTTACAGACATCGAACTCGATGCAAGAAGCGACAGTCGATCCTACCATTTATGCTTCTTCTCTAAACTCGTCGTGTCGCTCTGTTTCATCTCTTTCGATCACTCGTGTGCAAGAACCCTGACCACTCCTTACCATCACTCGTTCGCAACAGCCCTGATCACTCCTTACCATCACTCGTTCGCAACAGCCCTGATCACTCCTTACCATCACTCGTTCGCAACAGCCCTGATCACTCCTTAACATCACTCGTTCGCAACAGCCCTACGCAACAGCCCTGATCACTCCTTACCATCACTCGTTCGCAACAGCCCTGACCACTCCTTAACATCACTCGTTCGCAACAGCCCTGATCACTCCTTTAGACCACTCGTGTACAATGTCCGATATTTTTACAGTTCACAACTCCCCCACGAGCAACCACTAAAACCTTCGCCAAGAAACGTTATTCGGCAAAGTCCAACAGCGCAAACGCCGACAGGAGATTTGTATGACAAATTACAAGGAATCATTAGTAACCGAACAGATTGGGTCCACGTACAGGAACGTATCAGCGAATTGGGAATGTCAGTAGAAAACTGCTACGGCGGCACAACTGCATGACATGGACAGATGAAGGGAGATAATCTCGACACGATTTAATAATACCGGCAGGGTTTATTCCCTAACACTCGACTTTTGTACTTTTGGAAAACAAATTCATGAACAAATAAGCTGCAGCAAGCATATGAACGACTGCGAATCTTAGTCATTAGCCAGGCTGGGAGTTCAGACGAGATGCAACCGAATGCGTACCAGCGGAGTTAGCAAGATTATTTACAACATGGCATGCTATTTTAATACAAATAATTCAATGCGCACAGATAATCTTACAGTGCGAATTAGCCAATAAAAAACATAATAAGTACTTACTCAAAAAACTGGTCAATTTGTACAAAAATCCTACACAAGGAAATAATTTTTTAAACTTTCATACAGATATAAAAAAAAAAAAGAGATGTACACCAGAAATTGCATGTTAAGCATTCAGGCGAAATTTATACATATCTAAATAATATAATGAAGCTAGCTTCCTAGTACACGAAAATAGATTTTTTGCAAGCAGATAAGTAGGAGTCACGTTCATTAGCTGCAACCGACAATCTTTGGCTTTCAAACGACCCCATTTCTTCGTAAGAGCTATCACAATGTTTAGAAAAGACGACTGAGTAAGGGGAGTTACTCGAGTTTGTCCATATTACCGGTCACGAACTATGTGTGCGAACTGCGAATGAACTACTAGCAAGTAGATCTCTTCGATAACTTGACGCAAAAAACACTGTACAGTTAGCAACCTGACCGTTGATGAATTTGCAGTTATTCATCATCATCATCGACTTTTTTCCCTCAAATTTTGCTATATACCATGCAACGCTGCCATGAAGCGAGGATTGAAATATTTCAACCAAGCACACAGCTAATTTCAATTCGTGTTCGCAACTCATGCAACCATCAAGATGCGGTATCAGCGTTAGAAAAACTAAGGAGTTGCATTAAAATTGACATCAAATGCTCAATAGACAAATTGATTGTTGTCCTGCATTTTCCAAAAAGCGGTTTTCTGATTAGAGCCGCCAAGAATAGCAGAAAAGATATCAGCACAAGAAGAGACGAGAACGCGAATTTCATTCTAGGTTTACAAGCAAGACAAATCATAAGCGCTAAATTAACACAAAACGAACACACAGTGTTCATCAAGGTACTCGGCGATACAAAGTCCGGGTCGGCGATACAAAGTCGGGCATGGAGGTAATGAACAATAACAATTAGTGTTGGTTAGGTGCCGTACCACGAAAAAAATGTCAAGAGTTTATAACTACGTCCACAAATCGCTGAGAGCTTTTCAAGATGAACCCGCCAATCACATACAAGAAATAAGCGAGTTTACCAAAGTACATTCTCAGGACCATAGCGGCGAGCCAGCCATCCGACTAAGCACGATTCCGACTCAGGTGCCATCCGACTAAGAGCGCCTCGATTATATGGCGCATTGTTGTGAATGTTACTTGATAAAATTTCACATCCATTGCTAATATAATCACATCAATATAATGATAAAGCCTATGTCGGTTACAGTGAAAACGCAACAGAAAATCAAAGGAAAAGTTATATACGTATACGATAAATTATTCTGACAACGCGAGATGGGTGGAAAGTTCAAACAAAAAAAAGGTCATTAATATAATTGTGAGACCTTTCAAAGTTTTTTTTCGACACATAACTGCTCTAAGAGTATATTTGTATATTGGAAGCAAGGGAAAAGTAGTGCCAGCAACGAGAAACATTAGAAAAAAAATACATTACTTTACTCGGGTTTATGGCACTGGGGCGAGATTTTTCTGAATTGTACGTTTCTGATTGGCCGAGCTAATGAACTAATGACGTTAGAGACTAGATCAAATATGAGTCGACTACAGGACGAATAATTTTATTTCTAAAAAATAACGGCAAGGACGGCGGCAACTTCATACGGTCAAAATTTTCAACATCAGATGCTTGGGTGACAAAGGCTTAACAAATGCTAAATAAATGAAGTGGTTGAGAAATGCACTTACAAATTAAGAAAACAATCGCACAAAATTAATCTAAATCGTAACTCCTACACGTACAACTCACCGAGATTACGGAAGTATTTCATTCCTCCAACCCGCTTCTACTCAAACTAGATTATATGCCAAGTTGAATTTGGTATGTAGGTAACGCAAGCAAAGTACTAAGCGTGAAATTGGGCGAAAATAGCGAGGGCAAAGATGAAAAGAAGTCAGTGATAAGTTCAGGCTCAAGCAACAAATTTTCGTCAGTAAAAAATAATTGTATCATAAATACCACAATTAAAATGAACCGGGGTGAGCAAGCCAGGCGACATCAACGCTAACGGAATTAAAGGCAAGGAATAAAAGCTACCAAAATGATAAGACATACATCGAAATAGAAAATGAAGCCAACTCATTCTTGTAAAAATATGAAGACAAATGAGAAACAAAATAATTATGTATAATTTCTTTTAGGCATAGCACGAATAACTTGGAAAACTAGATTTAGAGACGTGTCAGACGGAACGTCGTACTTCATGAATGATAATATTTACAACGTTCTCTGTGGCCACATTTCGAATAGCTACTGGCCCCAGCGTTCATCGCTGGAAGGTGTTCATTGCGCTCACACTCGTTTCTATACGTACTCGAACAGCTTTTATACTCAAATGACGTACAGAAGCAACACAACATTAAGACAGCCAACTTTAATAGATCCAATATTATCATCATTTGTTCGGCGGAATTTCAGCAAGCAACTTTTCGCACGGAGCACTTATGCATAGCAGATTACCAGTTCAGGACGTCGTCATTTTGCTACCTTTCTTGAACGAGGACAGAGAGCTTGCTTCACGGTGCTTGAGAACATGAAAGTTAGATGTGAAAGAGGCGGCTTAACGTCGCATTGAGGAGTTGAGCTGATGCATGAGGTTTGACGCACCCATGGGATACGAGGAATGGTACGACTGTCGAGCTGCCTCCTGGTACTGCCCGGCTACGTGATGATGGTGCATCATTTGCATGGGCAGCTGTGGTCCGTTGATAAAAGCGGGACTGCTCAGGTACGGGTTGTTCAGGGCGCTCATGTGGCCTTGTGTTGGCATGCGGTAACCGTTCATTTGGTAGCCGAGAACAGCAGACGTCATCATGTTGGACGGCATTTGGTGATGGGGATGAGGTGGAAGTGTGGCATGAGGAGAGTGTGACGAAACGCCAACCTGTTGTTGTTGTTGCTGCTGCTGCTGTTGTTGTTGCTGCTGCAACTGCTGTTGCTTGTACGGCTTGTAGGGCACGGTGGGGGAGAGTGATGCGGCGCTGTTGTGAGATGGGAAGTTTAGAGGAGGGGTTATGGTTGCGTGAGGCGAGGGAAGGGAGGCAGAGACACTCACTGGAGTGGCGGAGTGAGCCGAGTGCTGAGCAGCAAGAACTGAAGCGTTGTGCTGCTGAGGGGGCGGAGTGACTGTGCTGTGGGAGGCAGGGGGCGTCGCTTCCCCACACTGCTGAGGCATCATGTGTTGTCCAGGAACTCCAGGTTGCGGCGCTGGCAGAATCATCTCTGGAATTCCGTTTGTCAGCTGCTGCAGGTGAGCCAAGCTCGTTGATGAAGCTCCAGGTTGCTGCTGCTGTTGTTGATGATGGGGAGGGTGGGGAGTATTGGACGGATGCGGATGTGGAGTGCCACTAGAGGGTAACGGGTGGGCAGCGTTAGGGAGGTGAGGTGTGACACTCGAGGGATGAGAGGTCATGTGGCTGACACTCGACGGCGACGAAACCGGCGGATTTGAGTTTAAGAAGTGGTAGTTGGCAGCAGAGTGACGATGGTGTGAGGGTGAGGGTGAAGGAGCCACAGGGTAGCCAGAATGATGCGTTTGATAGGCGTGACCAGGGTACCCCATCGAAGGATACCCCATCATGTAGTTAGGGTAATGGCTGAAGTTCTGCATGTGAGCCGCGGCTGCTGCCGACTGATGTGACGGGTGAGGAGTATGAGACGAGCGAGGGTGCGCAGCAGCAGCAGCGGCAGCTGCAGCATGGGCTGCGTGCTGGTGCATCAGATGAGGACTCACGGCCATCCTTTGCGACATCATGTGCGACTGTGAAGTAGCAGCCGATGGTATATTGGAAGTATATTGATTAGCAACGGCGGCGGCGGCAGCAGCAGCCGCTGCTGCTGCTGCTGCACCCCTGGAGCTGCTACTGCTCGATGAAGGTTTGGGTTGTATGTGCCGTTGTTTGGACTTGGATGAACGAGATCTCGATGAAGTCGAAACAGACGTGGATGAAGTTGTGTTGGGTTGAGAGGTTATGCTAGTGATAGGCGTAGCGCGACTAGTGCGAGCTGCTGGCGCAGCTGACGTCAGAGCAGGTTGTGCCATCGAGTGAAGGTCAGGATGGAGATGAGAATTCGAGAGATGAGCCATGCTGACAGACGACGCATGATGGGCAGCGGCTGCAGAATTTGCCAGGGAGACAGAATGCATTGAGGTAGGCAATAAATGAGAAGCGCTTTGCTGTTGCAGTTGTGACTGTGCAGGAACAGAGCATGAAAGGTTCATGTTAGGAGGCGTGGACGAGGTGGGCACTCCTTGAAGGCTGCCTTGTGCAGGTGGGAGCTGCTGCTGCTGAGCGCAGTCAGAAAAGCTGTGCGGAGTGGTTGATTGCTGTGGCGCCTCGACTGAATGAGCCATCTCACTGCTGCTGCTAATTGATGTCGGGGATTCAATGCCAAGCTGCGACACATCGAAGTCTCCTTGGGAATATCCTTGCATGGAGTGAACAGAGTTGGTAGTGGAATCCGGAGTGTAAACACCTAAGCTGCCGCCATCAGATTGATGTGGAGGAGTTGGTGTTGGGCCCTGAACAACACTGCCATTGTTTACAGATGCAGACGCAGGTTTAGCAGAGCCTGACGAAAGTTGTTGTCCAGAACAGTCCATATCCCGCGTGATGGACATCATGAGTTCTGATTGTTTGGAGCTTTCGTTCGTCAAGAGCGTCTTGTCACACATGGCATTTTTATACATCTCGTGCTGATGGTACGCTTCGTGATACTTATTCTGGTGAGCGTCATAACCCATGCCACCGTAAATGTTGCCGTCGTGTTGAGGATCTGATAAGCCTACACCATCAGGATGCTTGCTGAGAAGTGACGTGAGGCTTGACTCCAGAGACATGTTCGCGTTGTGCTCAGAGCGCGAGTGCAGGAGGGTTAGTTCAGCAGAAGGCGACCCTGGCAGAGAAGTGAGAGAGCTGGGGGAAACCGGCGTGTAGGGAGCGGGGGCACACGGGGGCTGCAGAGGAGACGGGACAGCGAGAGGGGAGGGAACCCCCAAGGAGGCGGTAAGAGGAGCAGGAGACGGCACTGAAAGCGATGAAGGGGCAGTGAGAGGAGAAGCAACCGAAGACATAGAAGAGTAAGTAACAGAAGAAGCTGTCGAGTTTTGCCGAGAGGTTATTGATGTGATTGCATTATTTACCGTTGAAGTGGATGCATAGCTGGATGAGTTGGATGCAGACTCCTGTGTCAAGTCACGCATTCCTTGGTCGTTTGAGAAAAAACCAGCAATATGAGGGTCACTACCTTGACTGGTCACAGCAGTTGTCTCCATAGATGTCTCCTCTTCTGAGGACAATGTAGCACAATTGGATGCCTCAAGAGCCGCACACGAATCGGAACCTTTAAAAGCACCATCGTGATCTGCCACAGTGACGCTCCTCACTGCATCTTCCATCTTGAGTTCCAGCTGCGCTGCGATGGAATCTTCAGCAAACTTCTCTTCACCGCGATTGTTTTCGGAAACTCTTGCAGCTGAACAGCCCTCACCAAGACTGCCAGACGATGACATATTTCTGTCCTCAGATACGCAGCTATCACTACCAGAATTGCCCGAGTCATTAGAAACGAAACAAATTTGATTTTCTGACGTGTGGCTCGACGGAATCGTATTTGCCCGAGTCATGGTAATAGCAGTTTGCAAAGTTTGAGAAGAACAAGAATTCGGCGATACTTGAGCATTTGAAGTATTGAGAGTCGCTGCGTTATGAGTCGGGGGTGAGGATGTTACAGGGAAGGGAGTAGTTGGGCGGCTAGAACTTACTGATCCAGGACCTGACGATAGGACAGACTTGGACGATTCTCCTGTGGTGTTCAGTGAGTTAGGTACAGGTGAAGAGGACGGTGAACTGTTTGCGTTATCACTCAGATCCAGGTTAGACTGATTGATATTCTGTACTATACTAGGAGTGTTACGATTCATTGCTTCATAGAGCGATGTGCTTACAGCTGGAACCAAAGGCGTTTCAGGGTCCAATTGAGTTAGCTTAGGGGACTCCGGCTTGGTGTAGCAGTCTATGTCAGCCGTAGATATAGTTTCTAAGGGCGCCTTATGTGGACCAGACAACTTGAGGTCTTCTTCGGGAGATTGCAAAACATTTTCGGAGCTGCCGTGAAGTTCGCGACGAGTCAAGGTCATATTCTGGTCAACAGAATCCATTGCGCTTGCACACAGCGGTTGCGGTGATTCTTCTGCCAAGGTGTCGTCGCTGCATGCAATAGAGTTAGTACAGATTGTAGTCAAATCAGAACAATTAGATTTCATGATGCTAGTACTGCTCTCAGGTTGAGGAAGTTTGTCACCATCGAGATTCAGTAGAGCGTCGAACTGATCTGCAGGGCCCGATTGACCGGAACATATTCCACTATCAGCCTGTAATTCAGTATTGCCGAGAATGTCGGCGCTGGATGTAATAATGCAGTCTGTGTTTTGGTTAGAATTGACAGACGAATAGACATCAGAATTTCGGTATTCTGTGGAGTCGCTCGCACTAGATGATGGCCAGGAAAGAACTGGCGCCATTTGACTAGGATTACTCTGCATCGTAGTAAATATGGACCCGGTCGAAGGAGTGAACTGAACCGTCTCCGCCTGTGTCGAAACGCACGGTGAATAGTTAGCCGATTGAGAAATACACTCCATTTGCGAGTCATTTTGTGTAAGATGCGGAACACTTGTTAGAGTTACGATGCCTTCGTTGGTGATGTTAGCTGACATGGTGGGACTAATTACTCGTGCTGAGGAAGCCTGTGAGTTCAATGGGAAAATATTACCAGCGTTCGCAATCATATGAACACTGGTTGGTTGTATGTCCACACGTGCCAAAGACGTTGGAGTTTGCTTACTGGATGCGCGCGACCTGGATCGCGATTTACGAGTAGGCTTGGTCGTAGAGGGTACATGAGGGCTTGGCAGAACAGTGAATGACGACGAGTCCAATTGTATGGTGGGAACCTCTACGACTGACGAGTTGGAAATTGCAGCCGATGTCACATTTGAAAACGTAGAGCAAACATTCATGGACTGTAAAGTGCCCGTGGACGAAATAATTCCCGCTTCTGAGCTAGAAGCCACAACGAAGCTTGACGCATTCGTACAGGTCTTGCTAGCGCGACTTTGGGAGCGAGAAGATGGCTTCGTGGCTCTAGAAGACTTGGTGGTAGTAGCTTTGGAAGAAGGCTTTGACATTGTCGACTTCGATGTAGGTTTGGTGGTGGTACTCTTGGAAATAGCCACGGCATTGACTTTAGGAATGCTTTTTTGTTTGTTGGACTGCCCTACAATTTTAGAATTTCGAGAGCCAATGGGAAGATGAGGGGATAAATTAGGCGGAGCGCAGGACTTAGAAGCAATTGGCACGAGAGACTTGATAGGCGAAGTAGTTGGTGGTAGGTAAGACACAGCACCTTGCTGCATAGCCTGGGTGTTCAAAGAGGCTGAGCCTACAGGTAAAATTTGCTGAAGTTGTTGGCCAAGAGATATTGTGCTGGGGTGAAGCCCAGGCATACCAGGCAACGAGACTAGAGCAGACATACCAGGAGGGATATATGGTATCTGCGAGTAAACTGGCAAATTGGCCATAATCGACGAAGATACGGGGATACAGTTAGGTACAGGAGACACGACAGGGATGGATGAGAGCACAGGTAACACAAGTGGTAGCTGGTGATTCAAGGACAAGTTGCTGGTGAGAGTTGATGACAGCGGTAAAGTTACAGAGCTCGATATAGGTAAACTGATAGATGAAGAGACCGGCAGGGCGAGAGAAGTTGTTTGCTGAAGAGTGAGATTCGATGAATTAGGAAGGGTGAGAGGTGATGAAATGGGCACGGTGAGAGTGGAATTATTCAAATTGAGAGATGACGGAAGGTCAGAGAGCATAGTCATAGAAGACTGCATCAGAGACTTGGGAGGCGACTGGTTCAGCATGAGGCCGGGTGAGTTTTGTTGATGAGGCATTGGGTGGCTTTGCGAGTAACTTGTCTGTAGAAGAGGTTGACTTAAGATAGAAAGTGGCTGTGACACAGAGCCAAGTGAAGCGTTTTGAGATAAGGTAGCTCCTAATGCCGGCATATGAGACCACGAAGTGGCGGGCTGTGACAGGGTAAGAGACAACGTTTGCTGAGATAAAGAGACTGTCAGAGGTTGAGACAAAGCAGACACTGAAATGGGGGAGGTGCATTCAGTCACAGCACAGAACGTAGGAGTTGTCTGGGGCTGTTGCACTACAATCCTGGAAACCAGAGGCTGAGGCTGCGCGACAGAACTCCTTAAGAAGTTATCACAAGCAACAGCTGAAGTAGGTGCAGTATTGTTGACGATCTGCTCAGTGCTTAGTGTCATTGGACCGTGGGTATTATTGACCTCTGCAATCATAAGATTACCGTTTCCCTGGTTGCAGTTTAGTGAAACAGATTTGGCCGCATCATCATCTACTGACGGCAACTTGTCCTCACGTATCATAGATGTCAATTGAGACACCCGCTCATCCGTCACATTACTGCACATTACAAATGGGGGCTTCGCATTTTGAGTTTTATCAGGAAGCAACACCGGTTCGGACGGTGAAGTAGGTTCAGATTGAAATGTTATCTGGGGATCTATAGCATCATTAGAGTCTAAATCTTGATCTACAGGCTCACTGTAGTCCTTGTACGATTGTTTCAGAGGTCGTTCTGGCTCATTACTAGCTTCTTCGTTGCCCCAAATGCTTTCGACAGCTTTACTCACTTCAGCTCGATAGGCAGCGTCATCTTCAAGTGTTTCGACATCGAGCTTGCTGCTATCATTAGTCTCAGTAACGGTAGAGCTTTCACCACGCATGATACTGGCTACAGCCTTATCAGCTTCACTGAGTTCAGGTTCATTTCGTATTTCCATAACGATGTCTGTCACATCAGCATCTGCTTCACGTTTGCAGGATATAGCATCAGAGACGGAGACCGCTGAGTTAGAAGCAGATTGATGGTAAGAGGTTCGTGAAGACGTCGTCTTGCTTTCTTCAGCAGTTTCAACTTCAGTAGCGCTAGAGCTCGTTTCAGGGTCTCGGTTTTCCTTACCGACATCTCCTACGTCAGTGGCCTCGGCTGTAATACCAGCACTGCACTCGTTCTGCGTCGCCGTTACCGGAAAATTTACTCCTCTTGCGGAAGAATCTACACGCAAATCTGGAACATGAGGAACTATTGCCTCGACTGATTCTCCTTTGTTGGTAGAGGTTGAAGAGGAAGCGACAACATCTGCAGGATTGGAATTGGCAGGAATCGGGCTGCCCAATGCAAGTGATGAACGAGTGATGCCTTTGATGAGACGGAGTTTCTTCGTCACACTCACAGGGGACGTTGTGCCAGGGCTGAAATAGAAGTAAAAATTAATTCAAAACTCGTAGATACGTTCAACGAAATCAATTTAGCTAAATTAGTGATCATAATCAGCTTAGCCTAAAGCTCGTATGACGGCGCTGCCCGTCTAAACGAACTTTTGGCTCTTGCAACATGGTTAGAATTTCGAATCATGTTAAAACAACATTTATTATTTAGTAATACTAAAATGAAATTTAGAAACCAATCAGAAAAACCATGTGTTCAATATAAAAAAACTGACCTTTTTTCCGAGTTTTTAGGAGAATTACTTGGATGTCCCAGGGTCGGGCTGTTGTTTGCCACTGTACCTCGGGGTTTTTTAGACCGCGCAGCCATCAAACGTTGGCCCCTCTCCAGGGAGCTGTCCGAGGTTCCTGAGCGCCGACGTTCTCGTTTACAGCGCCGTCCTGCCTGAGCGCGGGAGCCACTTTCCTTCAAGTCGGGTTTGCAATTGCGTGGACTTTCTTTCGCGACGCTTGGAAACTCGGAATTTCTCTTTATTAAGTTCTCTACTTTCACTTTTTCGAGATTAACTTCTGGACAAGGTTTTGTTATGCGGCCCTCGTGACCACTCTTGGACAGGTGCTTGAGAGATTTTAAAGGAGAGCCTTCAGTCAAGCCACTTTTCCTTCTCTTGCAGCGCGGTGGGCTTACGGAGGGCTCTCTGCCTCGCTTCAGAGAGGGGGCAGGCAGCTTTACATCATCTCCTTTACTCGGTAGCCTGTGGCTCGTAAGATCAGATGTTAGATCTGGAAGATCATCAGATGATTGACAATCTTGTATCTCATTAAGGCCTTCGAGCCACGGTCTATCGTCATCAAGATCGCTTTTCAAGTCGGAATCTACACAGTTGCTCAAGTTATCTCGAGGCAACAAAGTCTCTGACACATCCTTGCCCACTGTGCACTTTTCGGATTCCTGATCTGACGCAACATCCATTACGCCGTTTGAAAATTTCTGCTGCGATACGCCGCACTTGCGCATGCTACGTAAACTGACAGTTTCTGCTGTGCTCATGTTTTTCTTACCTCCCGGAAAGCTAGAACTTTGTAAAGCCGAAAATAAGGAATCAGGAGGCAGGGCATAAGGAAGCGAGTCTTGCACCCGCAACTTTCGAAGCTCTTCTAATTTGTTGATGCGTAAACTTTTAAAGGGTTTGGTTCTCTTCCTTGAAGCACGTTTGTTTTTATTGTTCTGAAGGGCCGGAGCGTCGTCAGCGATATTTTGCTCGTCGCTGTCTTGAGATGCAGGCGTCAACAGTGGCTGTTCCTCACATTTATTATTGGAGGCCGTTACGGGCGAGGATACAGAAATTTCATCCTTAGTTACATCGCCATCTGATAATCTATTTGTATTCCCCGACGATAGATCGCAGGTATCAGCATGAACCATATTTTTATCGGGATTTAAAGTACTAAGGTTACCTTTCTCATTCTGCCTAACAGCATTCTTTTTAATAATTTTTTCATTATATATGTTTGGCACTTCTTTGGTTGTTTCCTTCTGAGGACGGCTGCGATGCGACAGCGTAGTGCGTTTTCTCAACGTAGAAGACAAACAATCGCGTTCATCTTCGTCGGTTTCAGCAGAGAAACTGACCAAGCCCAAACGGTTGGTTTCTTTAGATGATTTTTCCAAATTCTTCGGTCCATGGTTTCTATTAGGACGGCGTTCTAGTCCATTCTTGGTTTCCAGAGCACTGGTAAAATTTAACTTAGCTTCACGCAAAGTGGCGGCTTTTTCCAAAACGACGCGAGGCTTGTGGCTGCTGCTGCTCTCTTCATCACTTGACAGTTTGTTGTTGCAGCTACGGCGCTTATCTCGAGCCTCCCGTCTCACCAGCTTCTTCTCGTACTCGCGCACCAACGTGCGCACCGAACCATGCGCCGCTTTCGACTGCACAAAATCCTCTTCGTCATCAGCGAGATGAGACTCGTCTTCTTCTACAACGAGGACTGGAACTCTTGGGGAGACGGTGCTGCGACGAGAGGAAGAAACACCACTCAAGCCTGTACGCCGAACCCGCCGTTTGTCTTCAGGACCTGAAAAATATGGAAAATCTTGCGTGAATTTGAATATTAAATTGTTTGATAGTTACACTTGTAAAATTAAAGAAACTGGCATGCATAGATTTTTCAACGTTTTCAAAGTTAATCAAATCGATTTTGGGCCACGAAATCCGAGAGACTTTGCCGTGGAATTTGATCAACAATAATGAAGAATTTCGTTCGTTTGGCCGTACACGCCTCAAACGTCAAATTCGTGGCTTTACGCATCCGCAGTTAGATCAACGCTTTTTGTTTACTCTAGTTGAACATATAAACATTACCCCTTAGAAGCACCGTTATTTATTTGATGACCCGATAAAGAACCGTGAAAACAAGTCAAATAAATAATCATTAGATAAGAAAAATGCTTCTCTTTTCTCATTATCCAATACAGAATACCCAAGGTCATATTTCTGTTAGAAATATAAGTTTAACAAGCCGCCGATGCAAAAAAAAAAAAAAATAAGTAAAACTGATAGATAAAAAGAGATCTCTGGTAATGAAGATGCTATTTAATTAAGAGTTAGCAAGTAAGATGATCAGTGATGCACAGCAGTTGTACTATTTTTAACAAAACCTCTAGAAAAAAAACTGGGTCAAGCAGCAAATATTGAATGGTGAAGTCAACGTAGGTTTGTTATAGAATTTACGACATCGGAGTGCAATACAACGCGTGATGATGCGGTTAGCCGGCAAGTTCTAACTAACTAAGAGGAAGCTAAAAACTTTGTTCACGAAAATGGATACCTGAACAGATTTTTATTTGCATGGACATACAAATAAGGAGAATAATACCTACGGAGCATTTCGCTTCGAGGTTCTAGGAAGTGATTATTCTAGTTTGCTTTATTTTTACGAGGTGAATTCACTTTGTTATCGATCGAAATCTCTAATCGCACCAATACTGAATAAAGAGCAAAAAGAAAAAAAATGCATGAATGTTTGGATTGGTTAAAGAAGAGTGGTTTGATATAATACTATACCTATAGAAAATAATAAACTTTAATGCTGGCGAAATTCTGAGATGAAGATCTGGTCACGAATCATAAACTCACTTCTGCCCGGGGAGCTATCTCGATCAGGGGACACATTGCGTCCAGTGAGAGCAGCTCTCCGTTTACTCGGAAGCTGATGCACAGTGCCTTCGCCACAACCTCCCCCAGTGCAGACTTTACCTTCACTATTAGATTTAGCGACAGTACTTGTGTCTGACTCTGACTTTCTCTCACTGTGCCCGAAAGGTTCTTTGAGAATCGTGGTGGTGGAAGAGATGGTAGTAGTAATGACCGAGGGGAGTGTCTCCGGCACCTCTGTGGCACTCTTGCTTCTCTCAGAGATACCCACTCCAGAATCGGCACCGGACTTAGAATAAGAGCCACCTTCGCCCGCAACTGAACCACGCCGACGGGTCATCAGACGGGACGGAAACGAAGTTTCAAAATCGCTGTCTTCTTCCCGAAAATCATAGGCATCTTTCTTGCCAGGCGACTTCTTAGAAGATTCATACATGCTGGAACCATTGGAAGCCCCCTTCCTGCTCTGGTTAGCATGGGATGTTCGAGTTGAGAATAAAGATTTTTTAGCTGCATGCCTCCAGGATGAATTTTCTTCCAAAGAAGGCTGGATATCGTCAGGTTCCGAGCAACCACTGTTGCTGTTACAGAGCTTGTTGTTCGTCACCCGAGAATCTTCAGTGGAGCAGTCGTCTGGAGCGGCATAACAAGAGGTTGATGATGGCTCCGTACATTTGCTTGACAACACCTGGTCTATTTCGGTAAGTTTCTGCACGGTCTTCTGCAACTGAAATAGAAATAAGCCAAATAGAAACTTAGTTAAATAATTTAAAGCAAATCAAGTGATTCAAGTTTAAAGGCATGATTATATAAGGCATGTTCTAATGAATTAAACGAATTCAATTCCTCGTTTGCTGATTTCTTGAGGTGAATATAGATTATCGCGGTTCTCATCGAATATAACAGACCATTGCACATTTGCAGCATTTAACTTATTTTCCTAAATGAGACTTACAGTGGCTGATTTCGGAGGTCTCCCTCTTCCTCTCTTGGTAACAGGCGGGGTCACTGAAGACTCTAATCCGCTAGAAACATCAGGTAGATGAGCTAGGGAAGGTTCCGAGCAGACAGAACCAACACCGCTGGCGTGACCTCTTGCACCGCTAGAGGCAGCACCAGATGGCTCGTTCTTACCAGCCTGGACGTTGTCTTTGGATGTAGGCTTGCGCGTCACCGACAACTCTGTAATTTTATTTGCCTTGGATATGCCCTCGGGACTGGAATTGCTGGCCTCCTGTTTAGGTCGTATGAGCAAGTGAGAGGGGGAGCGCACAGTTGCCTGCCTCTGAGATGGCGAGTGATCCATCGGCTCGCATTTTAATGCGCGGGTAGGCGACCGCGTGGGAGAAAAATCCTGTCGCAAATCATAACAAAGGTGAGTAAATGATTGCCAAGGAAGCAAATTATACAAATTTTTCACGAAATAGTATGAAGAAAGCTGTCAACGTATTTTCCTATCATTGAGATAAAGGGACGAGATGTAAGTAATTGCCATTAACTAATGGCAAATGAAAAATTAAATATAAATAGGAGCCAACATCTGAGGAAAATATAAACGATGAGTTAGCTCCATAAGATGATTGGTAGCCGAACGCCTAAAGGAATCAAGCATCAAATGAAATGTAACTTAAGTTAGTAAACATTCGCATACATTATCGGAGAGCGATGAGTGAGACGTGTTGAGAAAGGACTGCACGGGCGGAGGAGTCCAGCGCAGAGCTGCAGGATTGAGGGACAGTCGGCGGTTGTTGGAGCGTTGACGCGCCGCGTGCGCCTCCAAGGCTGCCCCATCCACACTCAGCACTAACCTGCATATATGAGAGAGCTCGTTACAACAGGAGCCCTACTATCAGATATAGTTACGAGTTTGTAACACCCGTCAGCCAAACACTGACGGCTTTTCAAGCTTAACCCACTAATCGAGGACGAAAAATCGGCTGTTACGCATACCTGTGCAAGTTTTTAAGGCTAATATGGCCGTTTATTCAAGCTGCTTATACCATAACCTGTTAAATTTAATGTGGATTTGATAAGAATTTCAAGTCAGCGGCTCCAGGTTCATTCATATTTGCCTCTCAACATGCAAAATTCGATGCAGTTGTAAAATGCAGCGGTAACTGACCTGTTAGAGAGACTGCGTTTGATGAAGCCGAGCACGTGTAGAGTGTAGACGATATCAGCCGGATACATGGCCAGGTCCTTGACCATCTCATTGAGGCAGAAGCTGCCACACGCTGCATTTAGCACCGACTCAGCATCAACGCCAGTTTCTGATTGCTTCTTATTGCAGGTATAACGCCACAGGTAATCCAATACAACGCTTTTCCAATAAGCAGTGTAAGAGACACGACCCAAGTCAGAGAGAGGCTTCTCCGGGGTGCCTGCTTGACCTTCTTTCTTAGATAACAGGTAACTGAAGTCGATAAGAAAGCGGCCAAAGCCTTGTCTCTGATACTGAGGCATGGTCATGATGCAAGATACGTTATACTTCAAGGCTGATAGCTTTTCCTTGCTGAAGTAGCCCACCAAATGGCAACCTTTAAGGTCATTTTTAGTTAAAACATAAAATAGGAACGGCTCAACATCATAATAAAGAGTCTTGTGATCAAGAAACAATTTGGCGAGCAGGCACAAATTTTGACAATAGATTTTGCTGACGTTGCCGTCAACTTGGAAAACAGAAAGGCCTTCATGACGGTAAATTTCTAAGCCAGGAGGAGTTCGCCACGGACACTTGGCGAGGTGCCGCGTGAGGACGCTCTCACTTTTCATGTACTTGAGACAGAACTCGCAAAGATAGAGCTGCGTGAGTCGTGCATATTCTTGCGGGTATGGAGCGCTGTACCAAGTCGTTACGTCGTACTGGCCGAAGTGAATACGTGCCGGACATCGCGCCATGTTGAAGGGATCCCTCTCGACCGCGGTGACGTGGTTGGCAGACAGCAGCTGCTCGGATGCCTGCTGCGCGCTGCGGAACATTTCCAAGTCGCGCTCGGTGACGCCAGGGGGCAGGGCAGGGCGAGGGGGCACTTCTGAGTCTCCTGGGTAGCGTGAACGAGGAAAGGTAAGTTCATTCTATACTACAAATGAGTTTACAACTTAGTTCATAGTTGAAATTTTATCAAAGACAAGCAAATAATTTGTACATTTCGACACCAAATGTATTCATATAGCCTAATTAATGAAGCAGCGCGGCAGTATTCTTGAAATTACAAGAATTTAAGGCAGCTTTAGACCAATTAAAGCCATGAAAAAGCTGCTTGAAGATACATTCTACGAATGCTACAACTACATTGCTCAAATAGTGCGAGCTTTGCTCTGTTTCCTTTTTTTTCATGGGAGAATAATAATAATAATTTGCTCACTTCACAACTGGAATTTGTCAAACAATATTCCTATGGACATAAATATTGGTATTACGTCAGAGCACTCAGACATAATTTAAATAATAGCGATAGATGATGATTTGGAAATGAATTTAGAATCTGGGGACCTCAAAATTGACGCAGACTGGATAACGAATCAGATGGATTGGTAATTTACTGCTGTTCATATGTTCAGCAGAGCATAAATTCAAGTAGATAGTGAAGCAAACATTCCCATCACCATTCATCCGGTCTGTGTCAATTGGAAGGTAGATTTTTTTTTGCTCGCAGATGTAAAACATGTGGATGTTTAAGCCTTCTTATATAGACATTTTCTGCAAGCAGAGTTCAGACCATAGCTGACACCGAGTGAATTAGCATTCATTTTGGTTTGGGAAGCAATGAGCCTATAATGCTCTGCAAGGCAGACTCAAGGAATGTACAATAAACTTGAAGGCTTCATTCTTCCTAATTAAGGTGCAGCATTCAAACCAAGTTATGTTAGAGGAAATTGTTATTTTTATGATGGCTATACAGAAATTTATAACTACTCTATTTTCAAAGAAAGTATGCATTGTTGGCAACATAAAATGACGGTCCGTGATAAACTATGGCAGAAACGGCGAAAAAACGTAGAGGTATTAATGAGCTGTACAACATCAAGTGAAGGTTAACACGTTCAGAGTACCTTTAGCAACGATATTGATCAAAAATCTATAGGCTATTCTAGGAAAAACACAGAGGAGAGGTAAATGTTGTTATAAAGGCCAAAGGTATGAGCAGAGCTGCGCTACGAGTTGCACCATTGATGGTTTGATTACTAGGATTCAGTAGGTTTTTCGAGGAGTTGTAGCAATCCAACAAGTGAATTGACCATAAACCAGTCACGCTATAGCAAAACGTCTAGACAGTCCTGCATAACGTTCTATGATAACGTTAAGGAACTAATGATGCAGAGATTGCACTGTGGAGAGGTGACAATGAGTGTGAAGATAACGAGCCACCTTGTCGCATCCCTAATGATCACATGAATCTCGCATAGACCTCGAAATTAACGGAGCCTTTGCAGGTATGTTGCCAGCTACACGGCCAGCATATCACGACTCCAAATGATAGTCAGAACTATAAAACATGAGCCATTCAAATGCTTTAAATGAAAGTGAACATTCAGAGGTTATTGATGAGCAGATTTGAGCTGGCCTTCAGAGATGAATGATGTGCATCTTTGCTGAATGAAGGTGTGATGACCGAAGAACGGGTTCCGTTGGGATGGGCGATCCATTGTAATGAGGGAGGGTGAGACCATGACTGTGCACAAGAGACGTTGTCGCCGATCTTGATATTCGTCAATGACGCTAGTGTCGGGTAGCTCGTCAGCAAGGTTTAAAATGGTCCAATGATACAAGTCAACAATGAGGAACACGTGCAAGAGATTGATACTCCATTCCAATTTGCATATAAATACAATATAATAATAGAGATAAAGCGTGCAACTTGATTACTTATATCCAATTTAACTTCATAGTTATGATGAAAAAAATAGGTAATGTGAAGCATGAGTTTCCAATAAATTGAAGTTTTCTTACTGAAAAAGATATTAATATTCTTCAAAACTTGTGATTTTTTGTGTAACAATTGTATTACCTCAAGATGATCAATAAATTGAATGAATGGCTAACTATATCCACGGAATGCGTTTAGTTGTTTTTGTTCAAGAATTAGTGACAAATCCAACAACTGTAAGGCAGGAAGGTTCTTAGATAAAAGATGATAGTTAAAGAAGACAAAGTTTCATTTCTTCTAAAATTGGAGGTGATCGAGCCATGAACCCTGAAATCGGACCATGCGTGCACTAGTGCACACAACTTGTAATTTTCCAAAAGTTGAGTCGAAATTTCCAATGAATCAGTCCACAAATTAGCTCTCTACGCTTTCATGCGTCAGTTAAATTGCTCAAATATTCAAACTTCAATTGCAGTTCAAGCAATGATGTCTCGTATCAATTGACAGTAATCTGATTTCACAGTTCATTTAGTCTAAGTTAGTTGATAAAAGACTGCAAAGGCGATATTGATAGATCTAAAAGAGAGTAATGGACTTTTAACGAGATCGCGAAACATAACGAGTAATGATAATAAAAATAATAATAATAATAGTAGTAGTAATAATAATTATAATAGAAATAATAATAATAATGATGTGTGCAATCTAAAAGTGCAGCTAGGAAATCGAATGTCATCAGGACTGGTAAAACTTTTAAATCAAATAATCAAATAAAGTAAACTTTGAGGAAAAAATAACGAAAGCCTACTTCTGTATGAAAATTTTGATTACGGTAAGAGAAAGAGTGATATATAGTAGGTACTTTCAATGCGTAGAAAATTGTATAAAGATTATTGAAGGATTTTATCAAGAAGCTGTGAAAACAAATGACCAACACATGAAGAAACAAACGTGAAGGAATACAGTCCCAATGACATCGCTGTCCATGCAAATTTATATAAGTGTTTGGCGAAATTCATTACAAGTATTGAATGACTAGACACCAATTAGTAACAACATAGTTTAATAGAACGATTGAGATGAGGTAAACATAAATTAAAATATTAAATTAACAAAGCATTAATTTAACTAAATGAAGAGGATCATGCCTTCATAGTATTACAAAGCGATTATAGAATAACAAGTTACGGAACAGATACGATGTGCAGCTGAACTTGCAAGACACAAACAAGAAGATGCTGCAAGAGGTGGCACAGGGTTAAGTGATGATCAAGTATATACACGGCAGCAGGAAGAACGAAATGGAGAGAGCGTGTCATGCAGAAGGCTAAGCTGAGAAAGAAACTAGAAGGCGTCTAGTGCACGTCGCGCTTACCCAGGCAACCTGCATGACTTCGGTGGTGGTGGTGATGGTGGTGGTGTCCATGATGGTGCTTGTGGTGGTGGTGTTTGTGATGGTGGTGGTGGTGGGGACAGTCCTCAGACGGGTCCTGTATTTCTTTCTTGACTCTCGCCAGAATCAAGTCGCTAGGAAGCGAAGCCGAAGCTTCAATAACGTCTCCTTCAAATGAAGGTTCGTGTTCACTGTGACGGTGGTGGCGTGGAGAATGGTGATGGTGGCGGTGTTTGTGGCGGCAATGATGGTGGTGGTGATGGCGGTGTTGATGTTGACGAGCAGCATTGGCAGAAACCAGTAGTGCGAGACTGGACTTGTCATCTTCAGGTTCGCGCATCTCATGGTCGTCGTCTGCCCCGCTCTCGCAAGATGTTGCATTGTCGTTGTTGACGTCTTTTCCCTCAGACGCCGCCACGGCGATGGTGCAGCTCGTAGATGCAGAGGCAGGCATCGACGTCTCGCGGGAGTCTGCGCTGGTGCTGCGGCCATGGACCCGTGCAGGCCGGCGATCTGCCGAAGACGAGGGGCACGAGATTGAGTGGGTAGCAGCTTCGCTGTTGGCGCTCAATGTACCATCGGTAGATCGCGTGGTAACTTCAGGCGATGTAACATGCCTAGCCTCGGCAGGTGTAGAAACAGTTTTGCCATCTGCCGTAAATTTTTTCTTTGAACTCGATGACAAATTCACTACGTTAGGCTTGGTGGGAGCGTTAGTCTTAGCGTCATTTGTTGTTATCTTAACGAGTCGTTCACCAGGAGACTTGGTTCTTGGGATGTTCGAAGTGCCGCATGCACCGTCAGCACGGCCACTCCTGCTGACGCGGCCGTCAGGGTTGTTGACTTTAGCACTACTGGGAGGCCTCTTGCAACCACGAGAATCGCTCGTCACAAACAAGTGACTAAGTCCATCAAAAAGAGAACGCAAATGGCCTGACGTAACGATGCCGCCAGAAGATGTGGTAGACGATGAAGAGCAACCTTCTTCTAGCGGGCTGCCGGTGCCACAGCTCGTGCCAGTGCTGCTGCTGCTGAGGGTGGGAGAACCTGTACCCTCCTTCCCTGCAGCGCTCCTGCCAAGCTGATCGTCCATCCTCTTCTCTTCTTCAGTAGGTAGTGGAGCCTCGTTAGGGACCTTCAATAGCTGCTCAAGTTTAGCTTTTTTGTGACGACTATTAATAGGAGCTTGATCGTCACACGATTCAGAGCGCCTCTTTGCTGCTAAATCGGACACAATCCTCGAAGGCCTTTCTTCGTCGCTCACATTCATGTCCTGCGACGATGCCGATATTTTCAGATTAGCAGGTTTTGATCCTGTTTTACTCTTGTTTCGAGGTGCATCAACATCCATAGTTTCTATACTGCCCTTAGGGAGACCGTCCGACTTAGGTTTGGACACTGCGATGGAAGATTTATTTGACTCTGAGGTTTGATTTTTTCTCTTCAATTTCTGCACAGTGAGTTCATCCTGAACAGTTGGAGAAGTTGGACTCTTAGACTCACTTTGCACACGACGCCTAAAGAACTTAGCCTTCTCTTTAGATAACTGCTCATCGGCAGGCGGCGTCTGAGGCTCTACTCTATCCGGTGCTTTGTCGCTCGATCGGACAAGACACATCCTAGATCGCGTCGTGGAAGTACAAGAAGAAGGAAGAACAGACGAGGAATGGAAAATCGAAGAGGAGGGAAGAGAACGGGCGCTGCGCCGTTCTTTAGATTGTTTACCGTTCAAAGAAGGAGGGGGGGAAGGGGCGACAGGAGGTGGCGTTGGCGAGCGCGCTGGTCGCCGGGGCTTGGTATGGTGAGCGCTGGGCGGGGCACCTCCGCGGCCTGACGACCTGCAGACAACTTCAAACTTAGCGACTGTGATTGGCTTCAAACATTTTCAAAGATTTGAGTAGAGTTTGCATAGAAATAAATGCAAAACTATCATAAAATTAAATATTAAAATAAAGTTTTGATTTGGTAAAGGCAGCAAAATTGACCAAGGTAGACACTTATTAATACTTCAAAATAATCAAAATAAATAATTTCATTATGACTGCAGTGGTAAAAATAACTTAGATGCTATGATCTGCCGGTAGACAAGCAAGCAACAGCATCGTATATCAGCTGGCCCAAATGAGGGCGGATGCACGATAATCAGAGGCAGCGATCCATCGTGGCCTGAGACTGCTACGTCCGAAACAAATACTAACGATACTAAGAATGGCATGATTGTCAAAGAATCAGATCTGTCAGAATAAAAACACTAAAATTTGTTTCGAGTGATTTTTCCATAGCCGACTCCAAGGAATTAAACATAGGTGAAATTTAAAAAAAATCCGCGAGTAACAATGCACATTCAATGACAAGATGGGATCTCACATTGCAAATGAAGGTAGTGTGGAGTGTGGAGGATGTTCGTGACGGTTGCAAAAAAAAGTGTCAAACTACCTGTTGATCTCAGTAAAAATTACCTCTCGTATGACGAAACAACACAAAGTGAGTGAAACATGAAGTGTCTGGGCTTCAAGTCGGAAACAATTCTTAGTTTCCATCGTGAACACGACCACTTTTAAATTTACTTGACTTGGACTTCAGTCTTTTTTCATTGAAAGCAAAATTTTGGCTTCATCAACAGTCTTACAACTTTTTGGCATACATGCTAACTCAGTGTAGTAGCCAAATTCAGTGTAGCCCAAGAAAAATCAACGAAGCAAGATTGACAGCAAGAACTTTTGTTATTTGTTGAAGACAATGCAAGCCTTTAATATCAAAGGCAATTTTTTTTTCGAATTGAAGTCGGTTGATAGTTGAGACTTGAACAAAATTGCTTGCAGGAAACCGCCAATAAGAAAAGCCTGCTTTTGGGGCTCTGCTTTATAATGATAGTTGTCAAAATATTTCTATTAAAAGTTTCTGAGTGTTCATGGGAGCAAGAGGGCAGTTGGGAGACACTTGCCTGGATCTTGAGGGGGATGGCTCAGGAGAGTTGGCACGCATAGCGTTCTTTTTCTTATTCTGAGCGCCGCGTGCACTTCTGGTGTCATCACGAGCCTCGCGCGAGCTGTGCCGGGCGTCCTTGGAACTGTTGCGAGTTTCTCTTGAGCTTTCACGGCCGTCGTTACGCGAGTCTTTGTTGCCGTGCGATTCCTTCCTGTGACGTGAGTCTTTGATGGTGCGTGGCTCCTTGCTTTCATGAACTTCTTTATTCTTGCTCACGTCCAAGTTTTTCCGCACGTCTCTGTTGGATCCAGAATCATTATTCTTAAGCAGATCTTTGTTCTTCCGCGTGTCTTTGTTCTTACGAGCTTCATTGTTATCAGGTGCGTCGTGGATGTCGCGCGTATGTTTACCAACGTCTTTGCAGTCACGAGACTTTGGTTTAGTACTTGCTTGCTTACCACACTGACCATCCAACTGTTCGGCCAGACAATCGTTCAATCTACTGCTTTTACGGGCACTCGAAGGCACCTCAGGCGTTTCATGACTGGAGCTTCGAGAATCTTGATGCTGCTGCGTACTCTTCTTTGCCTGCAGTGCTTGTCTTGCGCGGCTCCTGGTGCTTTCTGCTCCCATTTTACGTGATCTGCTCGGACGGCAGCAGTCCTGAGATTCCTCCTCACCCGAGTGCACAGGCTGACTCTTATCGTTAATGTTTTCAGTATCAGCGCTTGTCTTCCTCTCCCCCTGAGAGTCTTGACTTGGGGGACAACATGACCGTCGACGAAGGCCACGGTCCACCTCAGGCGGGCTGTTCTTTCTCCGTGCAGGAGAAACTTTGGCACAGTCATTGCTGTGGCGCCCGGAGCTCCGGACAGGCGTTGAGGAAGAACTATGGCAGGGAGAGGAGGCGCTGCAACGGCTGCTGCCTGAACGCCGGCGTGAATTTCTTGATTGGCGTTTTGAAGCCTGAGACGAAAGTTGATCTGTGCTAGAGAGGCACGATGGGCACGTGTAGCTGTGCGGTCGCCGCTGCAGGGAGGAGCAGCTGCAGCTCAAGTGGATGGCCTCGTAACAAACATTACAGCGCATCAAGGAGCCGAGTGCCTGCACACAACATAGAATCACTGGTATGGTTCAATTGACTGCTCAATTTTTTACATTGACAAGAAAATCGTCGTGTCAGCCATAAGTGCTGAAAGAATTTTGAGTCCTTGATACAGTAGGAAATGAATAATTATAAAAACTACGATCTGTCCTGCGTTTACCCTGAACCACCGGAACGAACGACCCGACCACAATCCCACATTGAAAAATACTAACTTATGCTGGCAGTAATTTTTCAATGATACACGGCAGCACAAAAGGGAAATTGTGAGCATTTGCCTCCTATCACAACAATGATGCACTCACCTGCGACGAAGGTTTATGACAAACAACACAGAAGAAGCACTATGGTCATATACCTCCTAGCACAACAATGATGCACTCACCTGCGACGACGGTTTATGACAAACAACACAGAAGGAGCACTATGATCATTTGCTCCCTAGCACAACAACGATGCACTCACCTGCGACGACGGTTTATGACAAACAACACAGAAGGAGCACTATGATCATTTGCCTCCTAGCACAACAATGATGCACTCACCTGCGACGACGGTTTATGACAAACAACACAGAGAGTGCAGTCCTGACAGCGCCAGGTGAGAGGATGCAAGACAGGGGCGGCGCAGCCCTTGTTGACAGCAACACTGAGGCAGGAGGGATGCACAGAACAGCCGCACTGCTCGCACGCTAGGAACGTCTCGCCAGGCACAGACGCTTCCACGCCCAAGCACTCGCAGCAGATGCATGTGAATGATTTCTGTGGGGACTGTTCAACAAAAAAGGTTAATAAAAATATCTCGAAAGAGGCTGTGATTCACAAAATGCTGTTTTTTCGAAACCGTTTTCTGAAAAGCCATACAAACAACTTGTTATTTGCCTTTCAACTCAAAAGAATTAACAGAAATATGATCAATGATTACTCTTTCAATCCCAGAAACTATAGGTACTGCAGTGCTTAGGGGTTTACACTGGCAATCACCAGATGAAACGTGCAAATCAAGCTATCCTAGATAAACATTTGGCGACATTCAAAATTTGTAAGAAGATATAAAACTCAAGTTACTTATATATCATTTATCAATACAAGCTACATTCGCCACGAATAAAACTGCACCTGCTGAAGCTCAGGCGTCTTGCACAACTTGCTTTTCTTGACACTGTTGGGAGTGGAGGCAGTGGGAGTGCGGCGACCTTTGCTGGGAGACTTCACTGGAGTTTTGTTGGGTGAGCGAGTGGGGGGCACGTGGGTGGATGGAGGAAAGATCATGGAAGTGTGTGGGGTGGCCAGTAGGGAGGGCGATGTGATGAGGGACGTCGAAAGGAAGGAAGAGTCTGTATGGGAGCTGTCAGATGAATCGCCATCTTCAATGAGAAAGTGGTCATGAGGAACCATTGAGTCATGCTGCCCTCGGCGCTTCCTGCCCTTAGGAGGGAACTCCTTGGAGTTGTCAATGGAATAATATTTACCACTCTCACTGAGGAAGCCACGCATCACTGCTCGCTTCACAGCCGCCTTTAGTAATGACGGAGTTATGCCTTCAGTCTCTGGCCCATCCTCCTCCTCCTTGACAACACATGAAGAATTCTGCCGCACATGCAACAAAATATCCTTCATGGTGGCCATGATGTTCCTATTATTGCCATTAGGAGACAAAGATGCTGATGCACCAAGTTTAGAACTAGCAAAAAGCGGCGAAGACACATACGGCACTGAGTTGCTCTTTTTGTTCTTCACATTCAATTTCTTCTTTTCAACAATTTCCCGCACAGCCATGACCACCTTGCCCACCAGGTCACCTGTCTTGCTCATCTGAGTGGGCTTACGACCAAGCATCTTGCCACACCGGGAGGGTGGAAAGCGCGGGTCGGCGTAGCAGCCCACGCCGTTCGTCTCAATGTAAAGCACGTTGCCTTTTGCCACCTGCCACTCCAGGTTGCTGAGCACATCTTGCGGGGAGACATCGTGGCTCTGCGCACAAAAATACCACTTTAATAATAGGACAATAGTGCCTATCATGTTACAACACATTCTATCTACTGTGAACATATGTGGAAACAACAGAAATTGTAATCAATCAAGGCATGGCCTGAAGCAAACAAAGTATTTCCCATCAAACATGATTAATTAAATAATCAATATTTATTACTATCTTTTGGCTTATTATGACTGAAATTTTCCAATTACCCACTTTCTAAATTAGGCAATTTCCATGTTTAATGAACCATTTATCTTGCATTTATAAGACCAAAAATAAGCAGGTCATAAGTAGGCTTTGTCTTTATTATAACCATAATTAATATAGACACAAAAGTGCGGTAAACTTGTAAAATTCAGATCAAATGCTACTAGAAGAATGAGCATGGAATGCAGAGCAATACAACACATTCCAGTAATAAATCCAATCATTTCAAATGACCTGGCCCTTCAATGAAATAACCATGGGAAAACAGCTGCAATCCCATTTTTTTTGTAAATACAATACATGCCAAACCTTGGCATAAAACTGCCAGAAGCACTAACCTGTCTGAGGACGGCGGCCACTCGCTCCATGTTGGGACGCTGCTTGTGGTGCCGCACTTTCTCTATTGCTGACAGGATCCATGACTTCCAAACTTCTGGTGAAGCTGTGCTACCTTTCGTGGTCTCGTCTTGTTTGTTGATGCTTGCGTTGCTTGCCATCTTCCCTGAGAGTTGTAGTCACACTACAAGTCCTTCACACACCACCACAAAATCCACCTGAAGACAATAACACTAATAAGTAAAAATAATACAAGTCAAATAAATTCCAACGTAGATGAAATCAAAGATATTCTTTAAATGTTTACAGAGCACTTTTTAAAGGCCTGACATGGTTTTATAAAAGTTTCTCAATGAAAATAATGGCATCATGCAGTCAAATTATCATTTCAATTCTCACCAATAAGAATAGAATTAAATTTATATACATAATCAATGCAACAATTTTCAAAACCAGACAAAATTTAGCCTCAGAGGATCATCAAGCAGAAGAACTTGAGTAATGGAAGAAATAGTTGCCATGAAGCACAAAAAATAAAAAGACGAGTAGAGCTGAGCTGCTACCAAAATAGCAGTCACTTCATCTGAGGCATCTATAAATAGCTCTACTCTACCACTCTACTGCCAGGCAGTAGACTGCATCATAGGCCACAACACATTCTCAGGAGTCTTGATTACACAGCAGGATTGCTTGCATTAATGAATAATGCACAATCCATGCACAAGTAGATATTTTCCACAATATGGTCACCCAGGCAGTAGAGTATAACCATAAGATTTGCAGTTTGAATAATAAAATGGCTGAATGATAATGAAAACAATTATAAGCCTAAAGAGAATACTGATTAAGCTAAGGAACACTCTAAAGACAAAATGTCAATTATTAAGAAAGAGACGCAGAAGTCTGATAACAGAGCCAATATTGCTTGGCAAGAATCTCAAACGATGGATGCGACGCAGTTCAGGCAACAATGACAACAAGGGGAAGTTTATTATTAGGCAGCGACCAACCCGAGATCACTCGTGGCCAACATACATGTGCCTTGCTCGCTAGCACAGCAGATTGAGCTCAATAAAAATAAACATACGAGCCAAAATGTGGTGACACATTTCATTTATACAGAATTAATTGGCTTCTGTACCAGCTAAAAACAAAAAACTAATAATAAAATTACAGTAAATTGATTAAATTTAAAATACAGCCCATTGTACAATAATAATATAACCAGAGGGGCATTAAATATTACAGAACCAATTTTCCTAAATAACATTTAATACCTTTGAGATGCAATAGCTACCACTGCACTACCACTTGTAACTTGGTAAAAAGTAGATATCTTGATGATAATGAGAAGTGGTTCACTATTTGCTCCACTAATTAAGCTCTGATCACAATCAAATGCAAGCAGAAACTGTAAATGATGTGCTGGGCAAGCACCTAAATGCAGATGACTTGCTTGCATTGGCATGAGCACCAATGAGATCCCTCCTCCTTTCAGCCAATGACCATGCAGCTCTCACAACCAACCCTCAACTGAACCCTTCAATTACTTGAAAATATTATCAATAAATACTAGAAATTAATAGAAAATTTTAGATAATAGAGTTTCTGAATATGCACTTCATATTCAAGAGAATTTGCAAATTGCTAAAGTTTCTGAAAAGTCTTAGCAAATTAAGTGACATGAAACATTAAATGAAGTTGATGGCAATGAAAGACACACAGAAGCAGCAACATGGCAACTCTAAACTGACAGAAATAGGATGCATCCCTGCATTGCAAGCACAGCTTACATGTCACTACCATCATTTTCATCTGCCAGGATCAATATTATTTTGGAAAATTCTAATATACATTAGAAAGCTTTTTATTTAAAAAGAAGTACATATTTTCACAATAACTGGCATCGTAGTCAGTTACTTCAAGTTAATGCAATTTATTTCCTTAGCTATTCTGTTCTAAATATATGCTCCTCTTACAAAGTTTGGCACTATCATTGACTTCATTTATCAGAAGGTACCATCAGAACTCAATTAACAAGAAGAGTATTTCATTGACTTCATATTATGACTTCCATAGATTTGGAACATTATTAGACTGAACTCAAGTTTGCTGAAAGTTAGCCCTTGTTTAGCAAATAACCAGACTTTTTAACTTGAAATCTTCACCCAAAAAGCCCACCAAATCCCTCTTTTTGTGATTTTGGCTGCAATATCATGCCTCATGATGACATTGAAGGTTCCATTATAATGTGATCATTCACAATCATTTTTAAGAATTGCCAACATTAGGATTTAAAAAAGTTGGATCTTGAGAGCTGAGACGAAATATCATGCTATTTCTGCATACTTTAAACTGAGCCACAACTTTATAGTGCAATCAATACAGCTTTGTAGCTTTATGTAGGAATCAAACCATACAAATGGTAGTTCTGACCAGTAGTATGCAGTTTTATTAGAGATGTACCACTCTGACACACCCTGTCAAATTCAATTTCTCAATGGATAGATTTGATACATAATGAGGTTTAAATATTTGTAAGTCTTTTCAAAATTTGAAAACCTCTCTATAAGCATCCTGATAATATGATGCAAAAATTAATACTCAGTTACAAATATCAGAAACCTTATGAAAAATGTTTCACAATTTTTGGAACATGTAAATGAGCAAAATCAACATGTGGTTATTTGCTTTAATTTTGATGCCTAAAGTTCGTCTAGGTTATATTGACTGATCAATGGTAGAAAAATTCAACAAATTTGACACTACCCAATGCTTAGTAGGGATTGATGGCCTGGTGACAATACCATGGGAATGAAGGTAGAATTTTTGTCCATGGATTCCAAATAAAATGACAATAAATGGATTACATAGGTAATTTATGGATCTCACTTATAAATAGGAATGTAAATGTCCCTATTATTTTAGAAAAACATTTCATAAATATGCTCGTAAAAATATATTTATTTGATCAATGGAAAGAGTGTTCAAAATAACTTAAAACATTTAGTAATAAAAGAAAGATCATCAAACAAGTTGATAGATAAAATTTGTTTCATGCTTCAACAATCAAAAATATTTTAAAGCTTAATCATAAATTATGCAAATGATAACTAACTTGAACTGATTATATTGTTAACACAATTTAAAATAACTATTTATAGTGTTATGTGTTCAACTTAAGAGACAAATTGTCAATGAATCACTATTTACACATCCAAGCAACAACATTTCTTCTCGCCTCGAGTCCCCAACATGGGGAACAGCCTCCCAGACAGCATTGTTGATGCTCCATGTATGAATGCCTTTAAGAACAGACTAGACAAAGCTATGCAGAAGCATATGTTCAGTCTTGAAATGCCTAGCAGTTACCTTACAGACCTGGCAATAAGTCAATCAGCTATCTCAAACAATTGTCAGTTGTGCTAAGATCCCTCCTGGAATCAAGTCATAAAAAGTACAAGTATCAGCAACTGGCCATAGGCCTATTTCTTCAGTGCCGACACTTCTATTTATTCTATTATTTAGACAAATTGAAGTCTGCAAGTGTTGCAACTATCATTATTTCAGGTGCAATTTCAATTCCTCCTATTTTTCTTCCTTTCTACCTTAAGGGGAGCGTCAGGCAGTAAAATTGAACATTTTGACTTTTCCTGTTTTTAGTCTCATCTTAAAGCTGAGATTCTGACCTATCCAATGGTACTAAAACCATCTCTGTGCATTGATGATTGATTTATGCATTCACGACAGGTCGCGATAGGGTTAGGGGTGGGGGAGTTCTTTCACATTTAAGATAGCCAAAAATTTGTAGCCAAGCACTTAAATAGACAGTCTGAAGACACTGCTCTTTGGTTACCCGGCTGCTGTCATGGAGGATGGTGCTCATGCAGTGGTTCCCACCATCCTTGACTGAATTAAAGCTCCAGTAACGTCTGGTCTTGCATCCTTGCCACCATGAATGCCTATTTAAAGGCGCTTGGGACTTTGTCGTGCTCTACTGAACATTCACACTTATTGTCACTGCAAACCTATCTCCTCCTAGAGTTTTTAGGCTACAGCAATGAGAGAGATATACCATTAAATTTGCAATTAAAAGATCTAGAGATTTATTGCAGCTTTTTTCAATTTCATTATAGTTTTGAAAATATTTGAATAAAGGTAGAGGGAAGAGGGAGAAATTGAAAAAATTTCAAAAATTTTATGAAAAATGCTCCACCACCCACAAAAATTTGAATTTAAAATTAAGCTACAATAAATCAGTAGATATGGTCTTTATGCATCAAATGATACCGTAAAATGGGGTAACTTAGACCACTTTTTTTCTTATAAATGATGCCATTTTCTTACTAGCTAAATTAAACTTGAATTGAAACATGCAAAATACAGGTCTATACTCTAGCTTCACTTACCATAAATTGCTGGCTCCTGCCTCTCATAGTCTTTTTGTAATTTACCCCGCCAGTCTAAGTTACCCCATTTTACGGTATGTGTCTTGATGTTTTAGCTTGAAAATCCTAGAAAGAGATAGTTTTCTACGGTACCATCTCTTTCGGCCGTTTTCTAAGAATTTCACATTTTATTTCATTTTTTTTAAATTGACATGAATAAAAGCAATCTATTTTTCTGTTTTACACATGTGTACCTACCAAACCAAGTTTCAAAAAAGACCCTGCTCATGCTGTAAATACTAGCCAAGATATAAAAAATGTCAGATGTTCCCCTTAACTAAACTAAAGAACCAACCAAGGTGAATCAAAAATAATATATTAACCATTATTTCTATAATTCCATCCTAAATTATATGGTTTTATACCTAAATGATAACCAAGAGGCTGTCTAAATCTTGTTAAAAAGTTTTTGTTTACAACATTCAGTCTTTTAATAAAATAGATCACTTAGTACAATGAATGTGAGGCTAGCAATAAGTGCAATGGCGTCCTAGCTTTAGGAGTTTAGGTTGCACTGCAAAGTGACTGCATTAACATGATTGAGTTAGTTAGTTTAGTTTAGTAGCCAAATGTTTACTAGCGCTTCAGCTATTTAGCTATCTTGCACCGAAAGTCAAGATGAACATCACCATAGACTGCATAGAGGTGGAAGGTCTCAATTATTCATCACCCACAAGGGGCGGAAGGTCTCAGATGTCCAGCCCCTTGAAGCNGAGAGACAGAGAAGGGAAATGTAAGGAATCCTGCCTACATAATAACTTGACCCCACAACTGAGTCCTGCAGTCAGACACTGCAAGCTCAACGGTGGGGCGCTCAGGAACAATCTCCCTAGGAACGCGAAATCCCATAGGACTTCTGACGAGCACAGACACGCGTCAGAAGTCCCCCCTGAGGGGGTTAACATGATTGAGTGAGAGACATTAGATATCAGAAATTCAGAATAGGCTAATTGGCTAAAACATCCATAAAGGTTTTGAGTCAGCCAACTATATACATGGAGCACACATATTTTCCTTCAGTCAAAGAAAATACCTAAAATGCAACAAGATACACATTTACCTGAAAGGCTGAAAGCAGGAAACTTCTTTTCTCAAAATACCACTGTTCAACTTTTTAAATAATCCAGTACCTAAAAGTTTGGATTTTGGAAATAACTGAAATTGTGTTAAAATGAAAGAGATCAGTGCCAAAACAACTCGCTCTGTTAATTCAATTTATCACATTAGCGTGAACTGAGTTAAAAATAACAATTTAGCAATCAAACGTGCAGTGAGCCACAGTTAAAAGGAAGCTTGCAGAATGTAAATACGACCGCGCCATACACACACCTGGATATGAAACGGCGGTTGCCAAGTACCAATTAACCTGCTAATATTCACAAGTTAAACGGTAATTTACGGGTATATTCGTAGAAATGAACCAATTTCAAATTTATTTTAATAAAAATAAAGTAAAAACGTCACAATATATTTGGAGTTTACTCACAATATACCCATAGATTACCTGAACTGAGGCTGAACTAGCTACTTCCTGTAGGGCTGTAGCAACTTCGCAAGTAATCCAAATTCCAAGTCCCGATCAACTGTGATCACCTCCCTTAGTCTCAAATCGTTCATTTGTCAAATTCCGTTAAATTAAAACAATCATAGTATTTTTTCGTCTAGATTTTACACGAAAACAATTCCTATAAAATCGTTAAAATATTTTTACGTTATTAGCCTATTTTAAGAGCCCTTCCGGAATAAGGGGAGAATCCGCCGTTTCGGCAACACTCCAAACTACGTTTTAATAATTTATAATCTATTATTAAGCTGCATTTCAGCAAGCAATAACAAGTAAACAATATCGCAATTCAAGTTTGGCAGAAATTAACCGGGAAAAGCGCTCATTTATAAGGATATCAAAGCGCGCCAAAATTTTAGATGAACAACAGAACGCGTCCGCACCATTCTAGCGGAAGAAATTTCAACGCTTACATTTATGATTTATATAATGCTAAATGTACAATATAACCAAAGAAATCAAATTTTTTGGCACATTAACACGCATTGCTGCAAATGAACTTTTAAAATGTCAACACTTGATAAATACCGGTGGGGCAGCAGCGTGCGTGTAGAAATCGATGCTTTCGAGAATATTCAACAGCTCCAACTTAGCCAATGAAACGCAATAACGAAGAAAACGATTTTAATGAGTTTGTCATCATTTGAAAATCGCCATTATCACATAGGTAGAGCCTTTTATCATGCATAACAGTTCAAATAAAAGCAATATCACTCACCGTAACAAATAAAACATCGCTAACATGGGTAAACGAAGGACAGCTGCCACATTTTCTTCAATTATAAAGCCTATTCTTCATTTCACAAACATAATTCACAAATAACAAATCAGCCTTTGATTCACCAAATCACTCATATATCACGTTTGATGCTTAAAATTACATTTCATTCAGTTAATCATGCTTAAAGTTTAATAATTTCATTCAACAAAGAGCGTAACCATAACACAAAATGGCGGCTCCGACAGTCTGAATAACTGATGAGAGACTGAAACGCCGAAGAAGTACATTATTTCTTAATATCACCAGCTATACTGCAAAATGCATATTCATTCTTTATTATAGTTTGTTATTTCATTTCTTTTCGAAACCTTTTAATTAATGTTCACAATATTTTTTACTTGAATTCAATGTTTATCTGGATGATTTTCAAGAAAGAAAATGTGAATAAGAATTTTTTGTCGAAAACTAATGTTCGAATATTTATTCGTAAAATTAATTTGTATATAAATGACAAATGATGGTAGCAATAAGAAATTATTTTCCTTGAAATTAATTTTACAACTCTCATGTAATTTAATCATCTAATTCAATGGTTACAGGCCATCTTATTTTGTGATGACAGTAGGCACAGAATTACGAATTACATCACCAGCAATAAGGAACAGAAAATCATAACCACTGAGTTTTCAATCAAATTTATTAAACATCTTCAACATTTTTCTGAATACAATAAATCCATTATGTGTTATAGATTTTATGTGGTTCGGTTTACATATGATGGAGTTGCGCGGATACTTGCTCAAACGTGTTTTTTTTTTTTTTTTGCATTCAATTGAAAACAAAGCAAAGTAAAAATATTTGACGATGCTCGGGATGGTATATCCATATTGATAGTCTACATTTTTTATCTTCAGCTTCATTAACAGTGAAAATAACGGTAGTGATAAGCGAGATACTTACGCATAAGATGCGTTTTGAAGCAAAGTCTGCCATAAAGTCGTTCACTGAAATGACCATTCTGTGTTCGTAACAAATGTCTGATAGCATAGCATCTTCAGCCTTTAATAAATAGGCCTGTAGCCGATTCTTCTACTTTTCGTGACTTGTTTACTTATCTAAAATCTTGCCTCCTGACAAGATCTTTTCAAACGAAGTTGGAACGCGTACCTCTTGGAAAATTTAACATGAGGTGCGAAATTCGGCCGAGGTTGCGTAATGAAATCTTCGGTTGCGTCAAGATAAGTAATTTTTTTACGTAAAATAAAATCTCGGAATCTTGTGTCTGCTCTCATAAATTTACAGGAATGACAATTTGCAATCATAATGGACTATTAAAATTTCCATTGATTCTATTTTTGTTATTAATCCATATTGTTACATTTCGATAATTTCGAACGCACATCCGTTATATTCACATTCGAGTTTACCTTCACTCCACCATTAATTTGCACATGTGTACCGGGTGCACTAGAATGGCAATTTTGTTGTTGTTTCAGGCTAAATCAACATCAAGTTTTGTTACTTGTCAACAGGTAAGAGAGGAATTAAGAATCAGTTTCATCAGTTCGAATTTACTTAAGGAAATGCGATGCAATAGTAAAGGCGACGCGGAGTATTATCAACTAAATATTAGTTTAATGGGTAATTTTGAATCAAAACAATTCAAACTGTTAAATATTTTAATAAAAAACATGAAAGGGAGAGATACACACGATAATATTTATCACAAGTCAGCGTGAAACTTAACCAGAAATTAAAGGTGATTACCACTCATAAAAAAATAGTCTATTCGTCAAAGCGTTTTTGGAGCGTCAAAAAAAAAAAAAAAAAAAAAAACGTTCGTTAATTTCCCTAGTACACTGAGAGAAATGAAAGGATTATTTTCCTAATAGCAACGTACGTATGCTTGTATAGGTCATTCTAATCCAGAATTGTACGGTATATGAGAGTGCATCGCTTTATAGATAAAGTAATCTTAGTTTCTCTGGGTGAACAGGCAAAACTATATAAGACACTAAGGTTCTTGTTGCAGACAAGAGAAAGTATATGACATATATTATTTTGTTTTAAAGTGGCAGGCTTTATTGCGACAGAAATTTCTAGTTTTTGTTCATAAAACTCATGAGGGTAATGGAAAATACAAGCATTTCAGAAGAAGCTCTATAGCATCGAGGCGAAAAATATCATCTACAAGGTGGAATGTTTCAATCATTACGAATATCATGACTAAAATTCCGTAAATACAATGAAAGTAATCTAACACGCTGAGTGCTTTACGACCCATCAGGGTTGTTGCGTGATCTAAAACGGCTAAGTCCGCGGACAAATAAGGCCTAAACGTCAATTTTTATTAGTAAATTTGTAGCTTCCGGTACAAAAATAGATTTTTTTGAACTTTTTTCAACTAGAAAATTTGTAGATTACGGTACAAAAATTGTTTTTTTTTCGTGTTTTTTCAGAACCGCACTGAAGGCGCTAGGAGGAAGCACTTCAGCGTCAGCGTTGCTACAGAGGAAGAAGGAAGGAAAGAAGAGACGCACTCACAGAAATGAGCGAGACTTTGTCCTAATAGCAATGCACTTCTTGCTCTTGCGTGGGTCATCCTGACCCAGCTTGGCCCGATAAAGAAGCGTGTCAAAGTAACGCACTAGAGGTGGGTCACTGTTTGGAATATATAACTCATTAATGTTTTTGAGTGCGCGTACAAGTAGCTTGTACAGTCAGTTGCTCACATAAAAAATATAACTCAGTACTCACTGCAGTGAGTGACAGAGAGCGCATTTTCTCGTCGACGAAAACTTGAGGTCTCGGACGGACACGGACGAACAGACAGGCAGACGGACACGACGAGCACAATAGTGCATTTTTTCCATAAATGAGAAAATTCGCTAAATAGTGGATCTTATAGTTCAAATAGTGACCCACATTCTAGCACACAGTACAAAGAGCACCCACAGCACTGATACACATTTTTGTTGAGACAAATTGAGTCAGGATGACCCACGTAGGAGTAAGAAGAGCATCGCTACGTGAAGAAGGTTGGCCGCCGTACGAGAGAGACAGAAGGGCAAGAAGTTCTGCGTACGTGTAAATTAATCCACCTAATGAGACTCGCAGCAAATAATGTTCTATTACTTAACAATTATATGAAAATCCTATAGCAAAAACTCTCCCGATAAGCAAATGTTAAACAAAAGTTGTACTTAGAAGCAATAGGATGAAAATATCAAGGCACTACTTCACAGAAAGCATTTCCTCTATACAAGTCTAAGTCATTACTGTACTTAGATTAATGCAGACATAAACGTATATTTTATTTATTGCATCATATTATTAAAAAATGAGCTATATTTGATTTAAACAACTTCGAAGTCGACATTAATGTCCTCAAAGTGCGCCACGACGTGGTTCTCGAACATGTCCTGCGTCACGTCCCTGGCGAACGACACGTTGCACATGGGACAAATTTTAGTATCCTCGTCGTAAGCCCCAGCGGGGGCGAGCAAGTTGGGGGAAAAGGGAGCGTCAGGGAGCCCTCGGCCCCCAGCGAGATGGGTTCTGTCCCCAGCACCCCTCGTCCCCTCAGGTCCCTTAGTAACTTCCCCAGGAAGGGCAGGAGCTGCACCCTCAGGAGGTGGAATGTCACGCACTCCAGGATCGGCACCACCGACGAACTCGGAGAGCTGCTTGGGAGACGGGAGTTTTAATTATTCTGAATTTACTCAACAGAAGCCGAATATAAGCTAAGAAAACATGTAAATAGCAATATGATAAGAAGTAAAGACTAAATGTGTGGTAATATTATGTAGATTGAAGTAAAAAGTTCAGGTAGAAATACTCGCAGGCAGTTGTGGAAATTTTAGTCATAATCACGACAGTCAGAGTGTGTCATTCTGAAACCGTCATTGGTGGAAAATAAACGAATTGATATGTAAATTAAAGTAAGAATCATTTCTTCATCTTTAACTCATCGGTTAAAATTAGTACAAATTACTAACCATGTCAAAAATAAATTGCGATAAATTTACGAGTAAACGAAGATAAATGAATTTTGTGCAAGCAAAGCGACATGAAATCTTCACACATAAAAACTTGAGCAGAAACCATCGAGTTGCGATAAATTACTTTACTTTTAATGATTGTATTAAAAACTCAAGACAATACAAGATACAGCGCCAGGGTGTCTCAGTTGTCTGACGCCCCGCCCAGCAGTTATCAGTTCTTATTCATGCAAATGCTAATTATTGACCGTAATTGCATGTACTCAGAGTAACAAGTGGAATATTAGCCAAATAGTGATGCACTTTTTAGCGCATTTTCTCATTTATGGAAAAAATGCACAATTGTGCTCGCCATGTCCGTCCGTCCTTCTGTCCGTCCGCGACTTCTCGTTTTCGTCGACGAGAAAATGCGCTCTCTGTCACTCACTGCAGTGAGTACTGAGTTATATTTTTCCCCTTGTGTGGGTCAGTCTGAGTCCTGACCCAGTTTAGCCCGGCCTACGGGCTTATTAGTGCTACCTCCACTTCCCGCATGCTGGTGTGGGTAAGAAAGTGTGTCACTATTTGGACAATATGATGCATTTGTATTCTCTAGTGCGAGGTGTCATGACGTACGTGGTGGCGGCGCCTGACGGGAGGGCTGCTGCTGTGCGGGCCATCGCTCACTGCACCGCCCCTGCAACACATCAATATAATTAATAATTAATATATAATGATAACTATGATAATGAGGGCCTGCCGACACAATCGTTAATAAATATATAATGATAACTATGATAGTGGGGCCCTGCCGACACAATTGTCAAGAAATAAGTAGTTTTAACTATGAAAATAGGAGAATCGCATTGAAAAAATTTAATAAATAGCAAAAATTTTAAAAGTACATCCAAACGAGATGGCTGCTCTCCACAAGTGGTGAGTTAGCTGAACGGTAGCCCGAACAATAAGTGCTTCAATCAAACGATTAACAAATAATGAGAGACATCACAATCATCATGACAACATCATCAAATTATTATGTAATTAGTATTTTCAAATAAAAATCTTTCGCTCACCCAGATTCTGTTGTCGCGTCAGGCTGGATGTCGTACGCCTCGCAGTCTGCAACATTAAAAACGTACATAACATCTTTACATCAACCTACATATTACAAATTAATAAATTTAGCTTGAAACATTCACTGGATTATTTCCAAGTTATAAACAAAAGAATATAAAAAACAAGAATATTTATATTAAGTAGTACTTACTTAGCAAATAGCTTGTTAGCAATTATATATCTATGTGATTTAGCAGTTATCATTCATGAACATATAAGTATTAAATAAGAAGAGTAGATAGTGACAGTTGCGCAATATATTGCAAATTGATAAAATCAGCAAACTGAGCGTCAAAGATCGGCCATAAAGGGAAGTAGCGGATCATGAAAACTGTACAAGAAATGACGAGTAATGAACATACCAGTTGAAGTTGAACAAGCTTGAACATAACAGTTTGATGTACTGAACGTACCAATCTTAACGTACCAGTTTTAAGTACCAAACGTACCAGTTTGATTTACTTACTTTAAGCTTGAACGTACGTACCAGTTTTAATTACCAAACGTACCAGTTTCAAGTACCAAACGTACCAGTTTGATGATTAAGCATCAAACGTACCAGTTTCAAGTACCAAATGTACCAGTTTTAAGTACTGAACGTACCAATTTTAACGTACCAGTTTCAGAGTACGAAACGTACCAGTTTGCGCCGGCAGTGGGCACCTGCCCAGGTTGACGGTGAGAGTTGACAGCTCGCGGTCACGCTGGCTCTGCAGGGTGCCACAGTGGCCGCCCTCAGACCCTGGCCGCCACAATATCTTAATATTTTGCAGCTATCAGACCCTGGCCGCCACAATATCGTGATATCTTGCAGCCATCATCAGAATTTTGAATTGCCTCCACCTATTGAGCATCCCGCTGACTGCGAAATGCGTGCGTTTTTCGGTGCTCAAATCTTCGGATCAGTTGACATTCAACGTCAAATCCGCGAAGTGAATAGTGAAAACATTATGAATGCTGGAATGCTGCGGAAATGGGTCAGGGCGCACAAACATTCATGATGAAAACCTTCATGAAAACAAACATTTATGAGACCGTCAGTCATTACCGATGATGTAATTAAAAAAAGTGGACTGTAAAGTGGGAGAGAACAGACGATTCACGATTTGGTTCTTAGCTGGAAAGTTTTCTGCTCTCTCAAGAAGTGTTCTTTACAAAATTGTTTAAAGAGGCGGCAAGCTTATTTGACAATGGCATACAAAAAAAAAGCTGGTCCAAAGATAAAATAAGTGCCCCAATAATAATAGGAATTAGGGAGAAAAGCACAGTAAAATATAGCTTTGCAAGTGAATAAACTATTTTTCGGAAATTTCTCTTGTTTTCATATCAAAACGGTAGGTACTTACTTTATAAACACGCCTCACTTGTATCATATCTTGCAGCCCAAGGAATATTTTTGGACTCAAGACTATAATTGATCAATTATAACTATAAACAAATGTCATGCTTAATATTCTTATGTGCACTCTTCACAAAATAAATAAAAATTCTAAGTCAATTTATCGCGCAAAAATTAATTTAGTTGGAAAATGAAGCTGCAACAACGAAATTATTCGGTGACGCAACAATTTCTAAATTCCAAAGGAAAGATGGAGCAGAACCCCGGCAAGACAACAATTATCACTCGCAAAATTTTTGAACGAGTTATGCATTAGATTTGAAATGAGGGTCTTAGTAAAATTCAGTCAAGAAAATCAGTCAAGAAAGTCCGAGTGACAATAAAAAATATTGAGATTTTGTGCACACCATGTGTGTGGATCATAATAAAAAAATCGAGCTATTGATTTCTCTTCAACGCCATTAATTATTATTTTAAATTACTTATTTGTTCAGCAAAATAGTGGTCGAGGTGCAACAGAAACTTTCAAGTAATTGGATTCAACAGGCAATTAATTTGAACTAAAACTGGCTAGGTAAAAAGAGTTAAAAAATACTGGAAATCTAACACGATGTAATCAACGCAAAATTCAATATATATTTACACACCAACAAGACAAGCAATGAGTGTCAAGTTGAAAGTTAAAAATACCAGCAACATAATACAAAAGCGTAAGTTATACACACCATTCTTTACATTATTTCCTCACCAACATCAAGACAGGCGATGAGTGTCAAGTTGAAAGTTAAAAAAACCGGCAACATAATACAAAAGAGTAAGTTATACACACCATTCTTTACATTATTTCCTCACCAACATCAAGACAGGCAATGAGTGTAGGAATACAAAAGAGTAAGTTACACACACCATTCGTCACACTATTTCCTCACCAACATCAAGACAAGCAATGAGTGTAGGAAGCAGCGCCCGTAAGGCCAGGTTTTGTCTCTGCACTTCATCCATGATGACGTCCATACGATCAGACACGTCCTCCGTGGCAGCGTACAGGCTGCCGTACGATGAGTCGCAGTCCGAGTCTTCCTCCTCAGACGAGCCTGAGTCACTCGCGGGAGGGGGCGAGTGCCGGTATCTGGAATACAAAACCTGGCTATACAAACTGTGTTTGTAGTGGAGTAAACAGTTCATTCGTCGTATGTGATAACAAGTATCAAGGAAAATAAAGTTATTCATTTAGATGATTTATTGCTGCTTGACTTATGTGTACCGATAATTATTGGAAGAGGCAAGATCAGATAACTTATAAGCTTTGTTATCCTTTCATGATATCAGGAGAACGAAGCCAGAATACTTCTAGATACCTAAAGTCATGTAACACATTCACAATCTCATGTGAATGAGATTGTGATTATGATCACACAATCACAATCTCATGACATGAGAAATACGGCTGCTGATCTTTCAAGACATGAGACTTACTATTACTGATTTTTCAAGAAACACGATTTACTGTTACTGGTCTTTCAAGACACGAGAATTAGTGTTACTGATCTTTAAAGACACGAGACTTAGTGTTGCTGATCTTCAAAGACACGAGACTTAGTGTTATTGATCTTTCAAGACACGAGACTTAGTGTTACTGGTCTACAAAGACATGAGACTTAGTGTTACTGATCTTCAAAGACACGAGACTTAGTGTTAATGATCTTCAAAGACACGAGACTTAGTGTTACTGATTTTCAAAGACACGAGACTTAGTGTTACTGATCTTCAAAGACACGAGACTTAGTGTTACTGATCTTCAAAGACACGAGACTTGGTGTTACTGATCTTCAAAGACACGAGACTTAGGGTTACTGATCTTTCAAGACACGAGAATTAGTGCTACTGATCTTTCAAGACACGAGACTTACGACCGATCCACGGTCGTACGCGCGCATATTAGATTAGATTTTCAACATTAAAAATTAAAAGAGGAAAAAGAAGATTATTTTCATACACAAAATGAAACATTCAAGCTTAAAACAAAAAGAAAAAATACGCGAGTGATGCCTTATGTAAAATACGAAAGTGCAACCCGTACATAAGGCATCATATTAAGTGGTGGAAAAGTTTGTAGTGATCACTTCGCGAGGTAATATATATTGTGGTGGCTGTTGACCATCCCCAATAGTGGGGAACTTGTGATGTACCTGCAGTCCTCCTCTGCTGACAAAATTCTTAAATGCTTCTAAGGCTGGCACCCTATTGACCGCACTATGCACCTCAGCTTCTCTCAGTAGCATTAAATAGGATTGAGCTCTCTGCTCTTGCGTGTTAGCGGCCTCAAACTTTCATCAGTTTCATCAGAACAAATTCCGTCGCAAGACTGACTTTCTATCTTTACCTCAGACCTCGACATTTCTCTAAAACACCATTTACACTGGAGGGTACAAGGATTTTCCATTTTACCCGACTTTTTAACAAGCCCAATCGCGGTTGTGGCCCCGCAACAAATAACATTTCAGAGCCGTGCCTCTCCTACCTAAAAAATTCATGCAATTCACGCTGCTAACATATTTTTCATTTCTTCCTACAGCAAAGCCAGATCAATAACGGCTGCTAGCTAATCATGTATCGTCTAGTCGGCACCAGAAGGCTTCTTGCAGTCAGACCTCAAAGCCGCCTACCTGCACAGCTATTGCACGCACCATATTACCCAAGACAACTCGCATCTGATGAACTCTTATAATATCTCGTACGAACATCGCAAGCATAAAAGAATGCCAGTCACAATCGGCCCGAAAGCTGCCATCGATTACCTCAACATCGAGAAGAGCCTTCAAACCCTGACAGCCCAGCCGAGACTTGAATATTGGTTGAGACGCTTGATTATTGGTCCGTTCAAAGCCCACCATCAATAAGTAGGAGACAGGCCCTTTTCCACTCGTCTCTACCAGCCCTTGTGCAAAAGTATATGAAGACAAACCTACCGTCTTGCTTTTTCCACTTTATGGTAAAGCTCCTGTTTTTGCTGCCCGGCTCCATTGCGGAAAAAGCGGTCTCAAAGCCTCCACCAGGACATCAAATGCCGCGCCCAGAACTAGGTTCTGCTTCCTCATTGACACATTCAATCACTTACAAGAAAGCAAAGCTTGCCCGCATCTACCGGTCAGCGCTGTCTTCAACTACGATGTTTGATTGCAGCCTGGCAACCCTCCTCCGTTAACACAAATGGGTATATGCTCTCAAATCCACCCAGCTCTTCTTGTCCTGACCTTTCTTTAACACATCATTCTGCTTCATACTTAGGGGACCAGTTGTCCAGGACCCATACTTTCAAAAAAAGTTAAGAGATCGTAAGTTCATCAGCCAATCATTGACAGCTTTTTGAGCAAAATCCACCAATCATAGACAAGAAAATAGAGCGCAACTACTTACGTTCACTTAGCGAGTTTTGAAAGTATGGCCCCTCAGATGAGATGGCTGCCTTCTTGACAGCCACCCGCGGAATATGAGGATGAGGACGGAATATTTCCGTCATCATCCAGTCGCCCTATGTCTCGTGAACAGCCCTACTATCAGACAGTGTTACAAAAAATAACAAAAATCTCTCGCACCGCCTGTACTGGTTACCACAATTCCCATCACTGTTAGGTCTTATCACCACAATTCGCCACCATGAATGGGGTAAAACAACACCATTTATATAAACAACATGTCTTAATGAAACAAAGTCTCTGGTATTTACCTCGGCCGTGGAGCTGTCACTGCAGGACGTGGTATTTCAGCAAGAGGTGCAGCAGAACCTTCATCGCTGCTGTCATCGTTGCTGTTTGTAGTCGCTGGCATGGCACGAGAGATGTTAGGTGAGGCACACAGAGCTTCTTCCTGTGGAATATAGTGTCTTGATTTCTTCTTATTAAAAGGATAAACAAATACAATTGTAGGAATTATAACAATTAAACAATTGAAGGTTGAACAATTACAATTACAAAGATTGCTTATTGCAATTTTTCTTACAAGGAAAATTTTGAGGTAGTACTTTTGCCAAGAATAAACATTTTATTACAAGCCAAAATTATATTGAGTTATAAAACTTTTAAAAAACATCACTCTGTTGAATAAAATGGGCACAATAAGCAAATTGTAAAGTGCAAAAGGAAAACTTTCAAGACAGCTCATCACTGACCTCAAATGCATCAGTTGAGGTGTCCATAGCCTCCATTTCTGAAAAAGTTCATAATTTACTTGTAAATTGAATACCTATCCAAGATTATGACAAATGACCACAAAATTAAGTTTTAATTCAAATAGTTCTTTTGCCGTATTCTAAAAGAATACAGCAATAAAGATGGAGATTTTCATGCAGGCATAATACACCAGACACTGGATCATGATGTTGTATCCAAGTTTTATACATCATAGAAGTGTTGCACGAAATTTTCCATGATAGACTGTCAAGTATGAAATACTTTTACATCATACATTAAATTTTGTACTGAATTATCTGAATCACATGGTAACTTCAGGCAGTGATAAATCAAAAGAGAATATAAAGTAAAGTAGCTACTGGCTTATGAGAAGAATACAAATACTTAATTAATATGTGATTAATATATTTACCTGGAAGATTCAGTCCACCAAGCTGGGCATGCTGCTGCAGGGCACGATGAACCTCGCGCATGTGACTGATCTACAAACACAGACTAAATTGTTATACCCATTTAATTGGGTATAACAATTTAGCATTATAACATTTAACAATTTATAACATAATTTTAAATTGTTATACCCATTTTAATTAAAGGTGCAATTTAGATTATAACCAATTTGATATGACTAGGAATCCTCATACAAAGCCGCAATTTTTGTAGCATAACAAGCAACAAGACTGAATTGATTCTACAGTGCCACGTCGACATTGAAACTTTGATCAGACAAAAGAGAGAGAGAGAGCTACGCACCTGGTTTCTGAGTCGCGTGTTATCCCTGGTAAGAGAGAGAGCTACGCACCTGGTTTCTGAGTCGCGTGTTATCCCTGGTAAGAGAGAGAGCTACGCACCTGGTTTCTGAGTCGCTTGTTATCCCTGGTAAGAGAGAGAGCTACGCACCTGGTTTCTGAGTCGCTTGTTATCCCTGGTAAGAGAGAGAGCTACGCACCTGGTTTCTGAGTTGCTTGTTATCCCTGGTAAGAGAGAGAGCTACGCACCTGGTTTCTGAGTCGCTTGTTGTCCCTGGTAAGAGCTGCATTCTGATGAGTGAGGCTGTTGCAAGTGTCACGGAGAGCACAGTTCTCCTGGTGTTTGGTGTGGATCTCTTGATTAAGCTGTAGGTTTTTCTCCCTCAGTTTGATGCTGCTTTCCTTTAACAAAATGCAACACAAATGGGAGTTAATGGTAATTCAGTATGTCGTTTGCCGCAACCTTGAAACTTGTCAGAATGCTCAGGGCCCCACAGCCAAACGCCGGCAACTATCTTGTAAGAAGTTAAATTTCACTTAATTGCACTGGGATGTCTTCCATTACAACTTCGGTTATACGGATAAAAGGTTAATTTCATTTCAGCAAAGCACAATTTTAAACAGGCACGATTTGAATTTAAACTAGAGTGACATCAGGTTCATGGTAGAAAAGCAGTTTAGTAAATCTTTCACGGCACAGCCACGACTCCAGCATTAGAGCAAGGAATTGCTGAGTTACTAGAGTGGTGTGAGTACAGGTATGAACCTCACGGTAGGGCTGGCAGGACACGACTGACTAACCAACTCACAGCCACTCAGACCTGACCTTGCACTACATCCCTACCGCTGAAGTAAGGTTTGAAGCATCAATGTCACTACAGTGGCTACGCCAGATGTGGCTTTTGGTATGCACACAAGATTAGAAATGAACACAAGAAATGAACAGTGAACGATGTTCATTGTTCACAAGTAGGTATATAAATGATACAAAACAAGAACTCAAGGTATACATATCTACATGCATATGTCTACTATAAAAAATGGGTATGAAATGCATCTACCAAAATTGAACACCATTCAGTAGAAGAATTTTATCACAGAATTTGTTGATAACGACATAGAAGTGAAAAGCTTACCTGCATTACACCGATTTCTCCAAACAGCTCAGTTTTGCCATGAACAAGTCTTTGATTTTCTTCTTCAATGAAGGAGAGCTTCCTTTGCAGCTTGTAGTAGCGCTCCTTCATGTTGCGCAGAGCAACCTATAACACAATGTTGCACAGAGCAACCAATAACACAATGTTGCACAGAGTAACCTAAAACACAAGGTTGCACAGAGCAACTAATAACACAATGTTGCACAGAGCAACCTATAACACAATGTTAGGGGCTGCATTTAGGCAAATGAGTGATTTACTAAGTGTTTTAAATTAATTCTCTCTTTTGTGTCCCCAGTGCTTTAAAACTAATAAAGTGCCTGCAAGTTAAAGTTAAATTAATGCATGTGAATAAGAATTGTTGAAGCGAGTCAATTTTCCATGTTCCTGCTTATCTGGGGCTTATACTGATTTGTCAACCACTCATACTGCCTACTGTACATGAGCCTGCTTTATGGCAATGAAGACTTCCTTGCTGTCCTGTCACTGACCTACTAAGATTATCCTGGCTCTTAAATAGGTAAGTCAAGGGAATACTCTTGCCACGCATCTCAGTCCTAAATTTTAATTATTGAATGTTATCAGTGAATTTTGTATATGTCATCAATCATCCCTTAAAATTGATTTAGAGTTTTGGATTAGGTAGTTGAATATGTACTTATGTGTTTAAAGTGTACTTATGCGTTTCAATTGTTATTGTTGCATAGATTTTATGTGTTCTTGTTCCTGCACTTTTGCAGAGTGGCCAACATGAAGCATATTCTGGGCCAACAACAATGGAGCATATTCTCCCAACAACAATTGCACAGAGCAACCTATAACACAATGTTGTGCAGAACAACCAATAACACAGTGTTGCACAGAGCAACCTATAACACAATGTTGTGCAGAACAACCAATAACACAGTGTTGCACAGAGCAACATATAACATAATGTTGTGCAGAGCAACATATAACACAATCTTGTGCAAAGCAACATATAACACAATGTTGGGCAGAGCAACCAATGACAAAATGTTGCACAGAGCCACCATTGACACAATGTTTCGCAGAGCTAGCAATGACACAATGTTGCACAGAGCAACCATTGACACAATGTTGCACAGAGCAACCAATGACACAATGTTGCACAGAGCAACCAATGACGCAATGTTGCGCAGAGCAACCAATGACACAATGTTGCACAGAGCAACCATTGACGCAATGTTGCGCAGAGCAACTTAAAATGGCAGACACATAATGGATGAGCATCAAGATTGCCCTGAAGCATTCATGTACTCTGATATATACCAAGTACTCTCAAGAACTGTGTGTAAATGACTCATTAGTTCTTAAATAAAAGAGAAGCCATCATTAGCCATGTGCCAAGAGTATTGGTACTTCGCTTGTTAGCTAAGTTTAATGATTGTTAAGTAAAAGATAATTATTTATGCTGAACACTAGAAATTAACTGTGACAATTTTATAGCTCTACAATCACTAGCATTTAGAATATCTTCACTCAATTTAATGTGGTCAATTAGATGAACAAATATTTAAACTACACAAAATTTAGGTAAATTTAGCCACAGTTCCTTCTAAGAGGTTTATCCAATGGTGGCCACATAGGTACTAAACTGCAGAGTTATTCAAGTACATGAAATCAAAAGGCACAACTATGCAAGCAGAATTTTCAAATCTATGAACATAAAATCAAGGGCAGACAATGAAATAGAAATGCATCTAAATTTTCATGTACATACTGGTAGTTTAGCCATTTCCATACCTACTTCTTTTTATTTTATCCATGGTCTTACAGTGATTTTAAATTCCAAGTCAAAAGATCCAGCATCTGAGAAGGTAAACTAGTAAATAAATCGAAAAATATACCATGATTTCAATGTTGATGAAAGAACCACAAAAATATGCAAAACAAACCAATTTCATTTTCACATCCTATATTTTTTTGTACTACACTACACACTTTGCTCACAATAATGCAATCGCAACACAATAACCATACCTGTGAGCTTATACTATCAGCAAAATGAAATAATCCAAGTGATCTGTAACTCTATTTTACAGCATAATGATGCAAAAAAAAAATCTTGCACATACCCTGGAACTTCATTTGGGGAATTTTCAAAACTTCAATTTTTGCCACAATCCATCAAGTGAAACTGAATTCCTTTTATTATTAATTAATGAGAAATAACCATATCTATTGAGGATATCATAAGGAAGAAACACATAGGGTGATGCTGGTATCCTTGATACTTTCTTGGTCTATACTTATGAGACTCAAAAATGAAGAGTCTAAAAAAGTCTCTGCTTGGTGACTATGATGATTGTCAAGTATAAGCCTTCACACAGCATGCAAAAAAATACCATCATGCCTTTAATTTGGAAAGGAATATTTACTTCTAAAGAGTCAAAGAAGTAACAGAAATTTAAAAGAAATTAACATAAAACTCACCTGTAATGCATATGTTGACCCATCAATGTCCAGATCTTCACGTGGGCTCTGCTGTGGGCTGGAGATAGGAAACAAATTAATTGAATGATAGGAATGATAGACCAAAAAGAAAATATAAGCCTCTACAATCCTTAATTATTTGTGAGCTATCATTATGTATAGGTTGGGCAAATAAAGGTTAGATAATTTTTGAATACATGCATAAAATATCAAATATAATTGAAATTTTTCTCTTTCATATGCAGTGAATATAGGTATACATCATACATGACAGAGATGGCTTCCATACTTCAATAATTTCCTTTTATATTTATAATCCATTACACTTACCTGTTAACATTTTTTGACATTATGGTGAATACTGCAGTGCAGACACAAATTATAAATCCAGCAGTTTTGGATGGATTTTATTGTTTCATTCTTTAGGCTTGAAACAGTTGACTGACAATCTAGATTCATGAGAAAATTCTCACACACACACTTTGAATCACTAGTTTTAATAAATTTTCATTTTTTATATGGTTTTCCTTGTTAATTTTCACCTTTCTGTATCCAAAAAGTAAAAAAAATTAAAATTATCAAAGGCAGAAGGTGCAAGTTAGCATTTAATATATATATTTAGTTAGTATTAGATAGCAGGATCAGCTTGTAAAAACATGGGTGGTCAATGGCAAGAGAATTCTTTGATTTTAATTTTCAGGGTAGAACAAATTTATCAGGTGACATTGGTTGATCAACTCCCGCATTTTGATCACCCAATGTCAACCTGTATTTTCTGCTATCCAAATACATGAGTCCAGCTGGTCCAGGGTCCTCAAAACCAGACGTGAAAATGTTCATAGAAAATTGACAGAGATTCAATAAAAATATTTTATGTTTTCTGGATATATCTGAACATTCTCTATTGGCTAATTTGATCCAAAAATTCACTTCACTTAGAGCTTTACATGCTTGTCAGTGGTCAGACAAACATTTTAAGAGTAAATTTGAAATTTTATAAGTGAAATTGCAAGTTTTCTTAACACATGATTTGCAGCCATTTATTTTTTTTAACCCAGTCCAACTCATCTTAGCTTTACGTTTGCGAGCTTGAGGGCCTCTTAGACTCGAGACAGGAGTCAGTGGTGCACTGGTGGGTATTCTCCTAGACATTTCCTACACTGATGGTCCATCAGAGAATGACAAGTCTGGAAGACAGTCCACTGTGCAGTGCAGAGAGTGGATGAATATTGCAAGATCTTTGGCGACGCTTCAGTAGCAAAATTTATGCCTTCAGAAGATCTTGCCGACACATTTTGATTTAAATTCTTGCATTTAATATATTTGTCAGTCTTCGGGCAACTATTTAGAAAAAAGTAAGGTTTCCGGTACGTTGAGAGGATCAGGATGCAGTGAAGCTTGCCCGGAAATCAGTTGCAAGGAGTTCCCGCCAAAATATAATATGCAAATGTAAACAACAAATTTACGATTGCATAGTTGTGGTCACATTGGAGTGGTCAGATTGCATTATCACATGTTCAGTTGACACTTGCTGTACAATCGGACTGTTTTTAAGGTAAAATTAGTTATTTGGGGTAACATGTGCATACAACCTTGTAAATTAGTTTGTGGCTTGTAAATAGTTTTTTAATACTCAGCATAAATGGCTTTTCATTAAAAATTACCTGGCAACGCATCTTGAAATTGGTTGGCAACGCTTTTGGCTTAAAAACCTATATATTGGCAATGCACCGACGCTGCTTCCACCCTCTGCACAGGACTGGAAATAATGCAACATCAGACGTACTGATACGCCTGTAATTAAATCTGCAACATGCTGCGTAATTGCAAATATTCACACTAATTCCGCAGGATGTGTAAAATTACAAGTGAATTATAACTCAATACCGCGCATTGTTGCCGTGACAAAATCTACGGAATCTCAGCCGGAAAGTTCACGAATCACGAGCAGCAAGCTAACATACCGAGAGCAACTTTCATGCTCGCAGTATAGCTCATGGAACAACCATAACTTGAATGCAACGGACGACGCACAACTCGGTGGACAGCGGCTTTGCAACATCACACTGATTGAAACAAACATGTAGTCCTCACTGCATCACTCCTCACGGTTCGCAGTGTTCAAGCGACTTTGATTGCTATAGTATAGGTCGGTCGGCTTTCGTGCTACTACCGGCAACTTTATAATTTTCAAGAATTTTGGATCTTTCAAACAATCTACTCTATTAAACAGTGAGTTGATATGTTTTTGCAACCAAATAAATTAATTATATTTGTTCTGAAGTGCTTTATTGTATTCAAGGAAGAATGAGCATGTTCTTTTCGGTGCAATCGGGTGTGGCATTCTCATTCTGGGGTGTGGCATCTCATTCTCATAGAACAGCGATACGGTCATTACGATGTTATTTAAACTTGATTTCAACCATCTATACATAAAACCAATGGTTTATCACGTTAATTTGGTAATTTGTACGTAGTATGCAGCGAGTAATGGCAATATATCTAAAAGTTAACCTGGGGCCGGATTATCAAAACATTGCTAAGTACACGTAGCGACTTATGTATGGCGTAAGTGCTGATATGAAGAAGTAACTCTAGCGGTGGTATTATCAAAACATTTGCACGGGAAGCTACGTACAAGAAGCCGTATGTAGCTCTACGCCTGCTCGGAGATGTCATAAGTGGAGTTATGTAGACGTTTTGAGTGTGCCAAAGCAATATAAAACTATTGATTTACTTGCAACACGGTGAATTGTGATAGAATTTTGTAAATAATTCAACATAGGCATAATATGTGATCGTGCTAAATGGTGCTTTTTGAGAAAAAAATTTCAATTAAGTTATGCCAGCTAATTTCTTTTCTTTTTGTGCTATAATTTGCAAGCAAATCTTGATATTTATATCTAAGAGTTTTATGATCATTCACTAAAATTATATCTTCATGACTTTTTGATTCAAAACCAAGTGGAGTTTGACAAGCCAACCATTTTTCTAGCTACGTACACAAATTCCTTTCTTTCTCCGCTGATAGTTGAACTCCAACTCACAAAATGTTCTAAATTCTAGGTAGCTCTCTAAAAAGTCCTCAAATTTTGAATGGGAACATGTAATTTTTTGCCTTGATTGCAAAAATTTACAATCAAGGAGTTGTCATTGCTATTTAGGAAACGTCTCGCTCATTTCTCCATATGCTCCCTAGTCAGTCAACGCAGATGACGCTGACACAATACAACCTCCTTTCATCCATGCGCACTGCGTACTGAGTTGACAGGAGCTAGGAAAGGCAAATTTGAAGCCTCTGAATGGTCAGTTACTTGGATGGTTTTGATAATACCTTTTCAGATGAGTCTTGCATAAGACAGTTTTGTTAATGCCAAATTTTGACTGACTTAGGCAATATGTAACTTTTTGAACGTAAGTACAAAAAGTTACATGTACTTAGCGAAGTTTCGTTAATCTCTGCCCTGCTTTCCTTAGCTACGAGAACCTAATATGTTCGATACTATCTCAACGATTTTCCAGAGAAGCGGAAACTAGTAAAAAATTCATGATTAAGCTAGATCCTCAAATTTCTCAAATTCTTTCACTTTAATTAATTCTCAAATGATGTTAAGGCATTTCTTGACTCGATCAACAATTCTACGGACTCGCCAGCAGACTCGCCTGCGGACTTGCGTAACTGGGCCACTCATATATCCTTAAATACTTAACAGATCTGTATGAATGTTTGAATATGAGTATTAATTATCGATACGCTGCCACATGAATTAATACAGATTTTTGCATGAATTATTTCCTAACCTAACCTAGCCTAACCTAATAATAAGTCATGTAAAAATCTGTAATAATTCCTGTGGCAGCGTATCGATAATTAATACCGTAAAATGGGGTAACTTAGACCACTTTTTTTTATAAATGATGCCATTTTTTTACTAGCTAAATTAAACTTGAATTGAAACATGCAAAATACAGGTCTATACGCTAGCTTCACTCACCATAAAT